CCATCCAGCCTCTACTTAAAAACATCCAAAGGAGACTCCACCACACTCCAAGGCAGCATATCCCACTGCCGACCAGCTCTGACTGTCAGGAAGTTCTTCCTAAGAGTCAGGTGGAATCTCTTTTCCTGTAGTTTGAAATCATTGCTTCTTGTCCTAGTGTCTGGAGCCATGGAAAACAAACCTGTCTCTTCCTTGACATGACAGCCCTTCAGATATTTAAACATAGCTATCATGTCCCCTCTTAACCTTCTTTTTGTAAAGCTAAACATTCCCAGCTCCCTAAGCCACTCCTCACATGGCGTCCAGACCTTTGACCATTTTGGTCGCCCTCCTCTGGACACGTTACAGGTTGTCAACATCCTTCTTGAATTGAGATCCCCAGAACTGGACACAATACTCCAGGTGAGGTCTGACCCAAGCAGAATAGAGTGGTACTATCACTTCCCTTGATCTAGACACCATACTCCTATTGATGCAGCCAAGAATTGCATTGGCTTTCTTGGCAGCTGCATCACACTGCTGACTCATGTTCAGTTTGTGTTCTACCAAGACAACTAGATCTTTTCATGGTACTGTTGTCTAGCCAGGTGTCTTCCATTCTATATCTGTGCAGTTCATTTTTTCTGACTAGGTGTAGGACCTTACATTTCTTCCTGTTGAAATTCATTTTATTAGTTTTGGCCCAGGACTCTAATCTGTCAACGTCATTTTGAATCTTGTCCTCTAGGGAATTAGCAACCCCTGCCAATTTGGTGTCATATGCAAATTTAATCAGCATACTCTCTATTCCTTCATCCAAGTCATTGATAAAGATGTTGACTAGCACAGGGCAGAAGAGAACCCTGAGGAATCCCACTAGTTACGTACCTCTCTCCAGGATGAAGAGAAGCTATTGGTGAGCAACCTTTGGGTTCAGTCAGACTTACTCTGTTGCATGTACGACAGACTTTTGAGACTTATTCTGGCACTTGGAAACTGCATTAGCCTACAGCTGCAGTAACACTGAATCTAAAGTAATCAAAGTTTAGAGCAGCATAAAATACTTCTGCATGGATGAAATATTGTCTCATTCTCCCTCAGCACTGTTTCAATTCTGGAAAAAAAATTCCTATTGGTTTCCAGTTTGTTTCTCTATTGACAAATAATTCCAGCTAAAAATATTGGTAGCAATTATTATTGGCAAACTATAAATTAAAAATGAGAGTAAATTACATAGCTTATTTATTGATTTATTGATATATTGATTTAATAGTCTGCCTTTCTTCCTTGCAGGATCCAAGGCAACTTACAACATACAGTACATTTTAATAACAGCTTCAATTTAAAAAATTGCAATATTAAATCTTATAATTACAGTATTACTATAAATTACAATATTAAAACAGTATGAAATAGATCATTAAATTTAAAAAAAACCTAAATCAATACAGTCAAAGCTATTGAGAAGCCACAACAACCAAAAGGAGAACACTTGCTCTTAAAAGAACCTGATCAGTGGTCCAAAGATCTGTTTAAATCAGTGGTTCTTAACCTTTGTTACTTGGATGCTTTTGAACTGCAACTCCCAGAAACCCCAGTCAGGACAGCTGGTGGTGAAGGCTTCTGGGAGTTGCAGTCCAAAACTCCTGAGTAACCCAAGGTTAAGAACCAGTGGTTTAAATAAAGGTGTCTTCACCATTCAGCAAAAGACAGCATGGAAAAGGGCCAACCTAGCCTCCCTCCAAAGGGATTTCCACAGCATAGGAGTGGCCACTGAGTGGGCTTTTCTGAAGTCATACTTGTGAGAGTGGCAGGGCAGAAACAAAGACCTAAAGATCTTAAGACGCAGGCGGACTATATATTCGGAGATCGGGAGCAGCACTTTGGATTGTGCCCTCAAGTGGACCAGTAGCCAGTGAAGCTGTTGTAACAAATAATTTATATTTTCCATAAATCTCACTCTAGTCAACAACTGGCTGTGCCATTTTGGACCTAGTGAAGGTTCTGAAAACTTTCCAAAGGCAGCCCCACATAGAATGTTGCACTAATCCAAACATGATGTACTGAGCCATGTGTCACCACGGGCAGCTCAGACTTTGTCAGGAACAGGCATAGCTTTGCACACTAGCTATAAACTATGCAATGTATTCCTGACCACTGCCAAAACCTGAGCAACAGAATTTGACTGATTTTTTTCCTAAATTTGTATTAACTCTCCCGCCCCCACCATTTATTTACATTGTGCCCTATAACTATGGAACATCGTAAATCAACTGAAAGGGATTACTGCAACATGGAGATATCTTTGGAAAGTGTTCAGAATTTACGTTGTTCCCTATGACTTTGAGCTGGCTGGATAGTTCAGTGGTATCGGTCTGTGGAGCAAGAAGTTGGGAGTTCAATTCTCTGTGGAGCAAGAAGTTGGGGGTTCAATTCCTCACTGTGCCTCCTGCGAGTAGAACCAGCCTGTGCGGCCTTGGGCAAGCTGCACTGTCCAAGGATGCCCCCAGAAGGAGGAAAGGGTAAACCACTTCTGAGTATTCTCTACCTGGAAAACACTGACAAGGGTCACCACACGTCAGAACTGACTTGGTAGCGCATGATTATTATTTATCTATGGTTGCAAAAAGTCCCGTTTCCATGTTATATCTGTTTCTGAGTGATAAATCGTTTGCTGAGCAGAGGTTGCTTCAAAGGGGGATGCTGTTGCAAGAAAAGCAGGGAAAACAACATGAAGTCAATTGGCTATTCATCCTGTAAATGTTCTCCTCCTCCATCCGTAGAATTGAAATATCATGGAACATAAGGTTCTGGTTGGTGTGCTATTCTGCAGTGAGCACGGAGAGCTTACCTTGGCTGAAATGTGTGTGAGAAAAATAATGGCTCCGAGTCTGCTGATTAGTGATTTACTCTTGCTAAGATATCAGAGAGGAAGTTTGCAGTTCCTGTCAAAGAGACTTAAGAGTTTGCCTAAGGGGGGGGGAGGGGGGGAAGGAGCCTATCTCAACTCTTAAGGGGCACTTGAGGTCTTGCTTGCGCAACCAAGAGTTCAGAACAATTGCTGAGGTTGTGGTTTTGGGGTTATCCACCTTCCCTTCTGTTGCAAAGCCCAGGCAGGAGCAGCCCTGGCGGTTCCCTATGAGTGGCCAGAGCTCAACTCAGGTCCCCTGGCAGTGGTCATTCCCCTCTAACGAAAGGAAACAGAGGCGAGGAAAGGCTGCCAGGGCTCATTTCCTCGCCTCCAATTTACTTCCAATTCTCCTCAGAGCCCGCTGCCTGCCCAAACCGCCGACGGCCTGCAAGCACGTCGTTTTGTCCCTTGCTGTTCTTGTTCGAAGCACTTAGGCCCCCACCCCCACCCCGCCGAGGGGAGCCCTCGGAGAGGGCGAATGAAACCAAGTGAGGGCTGAGGCAAGTGTGAAAGGAGGAGGTTTACATAGAGGACATTCCAAGGGAAGGAGAAACGCCTCGAGGAAATCATCTCCTCGTCCATCTGGTGTCAAAAATAGCCCTGGGAAAGAAAGTCCAGACGAGGGAGGGAAGGAGGAAGGAAGAAGGGTGGGGTGAGGTGGAGGCAGAGAGAGAGAGAGAGAGAGACGGAGTGATGGGGTGAGAGACGGAGAGAAGGCGCGCCAGGCGCTGTGAGGAGAAGACCACTAAAAAGCGCGCGGGGGGGGGAGGGAGAGCCTTGAGACTGGGAGGCAGAGCGCGGCCGTCTGAAGCGGAGGTTTTCCTCGCTCGCTTCTTCGGGCCTCGGGCAAAGCGGGAGGCGCGGAGAGCCTCCTTGGAAGAGCCTCGGCCGCGGCGTGCCGAAGCTCCTGACAAGGGCCGGGACAGCATGGCAGCGTGGGAAGAGCGGCGGGCTTCCCTCTCCTGCCGGGTCTTCTGGTTGCCGAGCCGCTCGCCACTTGTCCGCGGCCCCAGGAGCCCGCGGGCACGCCCTGCCCGAAGGCAACTCCAGGAAGCCTCCTGAGCGCCTGCAGCGGTCGAGCTGGCCAGCAGAGGGCTACGGGGGGCTGCCACCCTCGGGCGGGGGGAACCGAGGAAGCCCGCCGCCGCCGCCGCCGCCACCGCCGCCGCTGGCGGGGCAAAAGGCGCTTCCTCGCCCCCACCCGCTGCCTGCCTTGCAGATCCAAGCGGATGGCAAGGCTGAGATGTGGAGCGGGAGTCTCCTTGTGGCTTCTCGCGCTGGCCCTTCTCAAGGTGGGTGACAGCCACTCGCAACACAAGAGAAGGGGCTTCGCCGGGGGTGGGGGTGGGGAAGGGGGGATTCCCCAAATTTCTCTCACGCTAAACCTTACACCGCTTCTTGCTCCCTGCTTTGATCTCCTCCTCCTGTCACTGCTGATCACATCACTCTTTACCTGCCTCAACCTTGCTCTGGGCACCAACTAAGGATGGAAGAAGCAGAGCTTAGAAGAGCTGCTTTGACACGACGCGGCTCCTAGAATCCCCCCAGCCCAGATGGCAAGAGATGCCCATGGATTGAAACAATGTAGTCGGACATAAGTAACTTTCTCGAGCACTGGGAAGACCTTTTTGCCACCAATCCCACTTCTCAAGTGAACTGTTAGCGACTTCAGGTGCAGTTCTCAGTATTCAATCAACATAATTCCATACAGGTTAATTAACTGCTGTCTTTCATCCCTTAGCCTAATTTATTCAAAACATGCATTGAAAGAATGGATCATATCTCCTCCCTGCCCCGAGCTATACATACATGTATACATACTTTTAGTTCGAGTGTATACCTGTGGATAAAGTGGGGTTTCCAGTGATTTTCTGTTTTTTCTGCAATTGACAGGTGCTCTGGTGAGATTAATTAATACAAGTCATGCTTATGACATGTTAATATAGGCACAAGTCTTAAAAGACATAATTTCCATCAACATTGATGGAAGTACTCTATGTCACTGTGCTTAGGCACAAGGATCTAAACCTTGAATTAATTTTGTCATAGGTAAGTGAAAATAAACCATCTGCTTGTAGATTTTATTTGCTGTTTCTGGTCCCTTTTCCAGAGTGGTCTAGGAGCGCCAGTAAAATGCACAGTCAACCAGACAGAACTGAAGGTCTCCAGCCGATCTGTCTATCTCAGGTGGAGCAGTCTGGGGAATCCTTGTAACTTCAGTGTAACCTGCAACTCTCACAATGCCTTATACAGGATTTGTCAGCCCATCCAGAAAGCCAGTGGTTTATATGAATGTGACTACAATGGCTTGGAAGCAGGGACTTTGTACTATCTTAGGATTGTCTCTCTGTCTGATGGAGAAACCAGCAACATCACATTGCGAACAGGTATGGATGACAGATGGAAACATGATTACCATTTGAAGGGAAGTGTAGGCAAAGGAAGGTTCTGTGCTGGTCATGCTGTCTCTGTCATATTCACTCTGAACTTATCATTTTGAAAATTGGCAATGGTAGTGTTTGTTCTAAACATGTTTTAATATATTCTATACACTGACCAATGACAGAAGAATTGATCTTCCTCTTGTAGTTAATTTTGGCTCATAAGAGGAATCTCCCTACTTAGAGCTTAGTAATTAGTTTCAATGCCCAGGTCAGCAATAATTTGGATCTTATTAAAGGACATGAGTTGTAATTTCTAATAATATTTGAAATGCAAATGTGATAATTATTATTTTGTAAATTTTCAGTATTTATTTTGTGAATGAACTCAGTTTTAGAGTTTTCCGTTCTAGTTTTAGTAATCAGAATTCACTTCGCATTTAGGAAGATAAACTGTAAATTAGACATCTTTACTGCACTTATACTTCAGTGTCTGGATACAAATTTTTTTGGGCTGCAGTCATAGAGACACTTACCTGGAAGCACGGTCCATAGAAGTAAAGGGAATATATCTGAATAACTGAACATAATTATTGATTCTTTCTTGTACCTGTCTGTAAGTAAATAAGTTAATAACTTCACTTATTGAAGTTAAAATAACAATGAAAATATATGGACTGTACTTCCTGGATTGACGTAAATGACCATGACTCACAGAAAGTCATTAGTTTGTGAAGAGTGGGTAATTATTATTGTCAAGTTGTTGGAAAACATAATTGACCTTAAAGGCATTTTAACGACTTACCAAAGCTCTTATAAATGCATTCTGATATTGACAGAAAGCTTTTGCATAGTCTTCTGTTCTACAAGAACATTCCCAGGCTCATCAGTTTCATTTTGTTCTATATGAACATGCATGAAGTTCCCTGATCTTTGCTTTGTTAGAACAAATCTGTTGCAAAGAGTTTAAACTGCAGTAATAGATGAGTTTTCATGTTATCAGCGTTGCATAGATTTTCAAATTAAGTTAGCTTATTTTCAGGGCATTCATTAATAAAAATTCTACTTCTGTTGGACTGCCCCAAGACTAGTTTACATTTTGTAAAGATATTGTGTAAATTATCATGAAAATAACTTTTCCTCCCATGTAACCATATATTAATTAAGATTCATTAATAGTACTGTTTTATTGCCCCTTCCCCAACATCTAGCTCCATTTTGAGTCAATGGAAAATGCTTGTAGTCAATGGAAAATGCTTTGCTTTTACTGATTTGATTACCCAGACATCCTTATATTGAATATTTTTGCACTGTACTATAGTGTAATGAAGTTAGTAAGAAAATTATTTTCAAAATAATAGATGAAATAAAAAATATGTAGTTATTCTGTTGATGCCTGTCATTTGCATCAGATTCTTAACATTTGCTGCAAATAAACCATTTTTGACTGAAACTTAATTCACAAATATTGTGTATTAATTAAAAGAACTTGCAGTCTTGTGACATATTTGAGTCTGTATTGGGACATTCCTTCCAACCTTCTCAACATGGTTGCCTCCAAATAATTGGACTAGAACATCATCCCCAGTGGCTACATTGTCTGTGGATGATGTTGTGGTATTTAGATGAACCCATGTTGACAAAGACTGTTTCTTTACCTGCATGAGGTTTTTTTCCCCACCCAGAGTTGAGGATATTGTATGATAAAAGTACTGTAAAAGTATGGATTTAATCCTACACACTATTCCCTGGGAGTAAGGCTGCAATCTTATGCACTTACATGGAAATAAATCTGACTGAAGTCAATAAAACTTAATTCTGAGTTAGTTTGCACAAGAGCGGAGTGTTAGTTAAATGAATAAGGCTTACATTTGAGTAGATTAGTATATGATCCCAAAACAAAACATTTTAATTGGAACTGACAACTCGTATAGTCTATATACAGACATTTTAAGGGACAGTCCAATGTCATGGGAAAGCAGTAACTTTTTTTTTTATTTGGCTACAATCAATTAATTATGTGGATAAACTTAACATAAAGGACTAACCTTGCACTGAATGCACTTCAAATATGTTTGAATATGCCAGGAAGCAACATATAAACTGAAGTAGGAAGAAGAAGGACTGATAATGGAAGCATACTAGCCTTTTCTCCCCTTATATCTTCAAAAAAATGCACGTTTTTTAAAAGTTTCAGCCACACGGGTTTTTTATTTAAACATCAAATTCTGTAGCCAATATACAATTAGAGTGCTGTAAAAAAATCTTTATATAGAAATATCTTATTTTTATGGTATATCAGTATTGGACAGCTGCCAGTCAAGACTTTTGTAACAATGTAAATGATTTTTAAGTGTTTGTTTCCAGCCTGGGCTTTTCAGGCCAGGCACTTCCCAAGCTCATTGTTCCTTTGTTCTAGCGGATGTACAGAGGACTGGGTGTTTTGTGTTCTGGGCTAGATAGATTAGATAAAGTCTGAATTTCTGAAGTTCACCTTCTAGGCACGCAATCTTTTAATTTGCTTTAGGAGGGGTATCCCTCTCCCAATTCATTCTTCATTTATTTATCTCCAGGGTGTGGAAAACATGTGTCCCTTCAGATGTGGAGAGACTGCAACTCCCATATGCCCTAGCCAGCACAGCCACTGGTGAGGGCTGATGGGATTTACAGTGAAACAATGTTCAAAGAGCTACACACATTCCCTAGCTTTGGTTTTATAGCTGTGCACAAACAGCCTTTTGATATTCACCACCTTTTACAGTAAGGAAAGATACAGAAGGTAGCAATATCACCATTTTTTTCCAAAGGAAGGAGGAATTATCTAATCATTTTTCAGAGATGAGATCCAATGGTTTTGTTCTTTCTTTCCTATTTTTGGTAAGGAAAGATACAGAAGGTAGCAACATCACCATTTTTTTCCCAAAGGAAGGAGGAATTATCCAATCATTTTTTCAGAGATGAGGACCAATGGTTTCATTCTTTCTTTCCTAAAGGATTTTTTTTTGGGGGGGGGAGGTTGGAGGAGAGGTTTGTTTTTTGCATTGCCACAGCAAGTGGCAACAACAGCAACTGTGTTGGCAGTCTTGCTACCATATTGCCTCCTACCAATCTGGGCCATAGTGGTGGTGGTAGGGGTGAGGCAGGTGAAGTCTGGAAATAATTCTGTTGAGTGAGCTTGCATTCTAAGGAAAATATCAGAATGTTTCTTAGAAAAAAAATGTGTTCTGAGAAATTTTGATTCGGCACTTGTTATTCATGAAAGTTCAGCAGCTTCTTTAGGTCTTTAAAATATTCCATTTTCAAATTGCCTTTGTAGATATGTTTTATCTCTACTAAACAGAATTATAATACAGGTGATTCCTTTTAATCCCCGTAGCAGGCAAGAGAAAGGGTAGTATTGGTCCAGCTCTAGGAAAAAGATGAACCTAACACTATGCCACAATTTAACTTCCAGTGCCTCTACCTAAACAGAGAAAATCTTTATGCTCTGGGCCTTAATTGAAGTGTGGGGTGCTGGGGAGGATGCTGACTATCACAGAGATGATTGTACTGTTAAGGACAGGAGATATTCACCTATTCACTCCTCAGCCACCTCATTAGGAAGATAGAGACTTCCTGCCAAACATTTGTATCATCCCCTGTGCAACTCCCATTTACACTATCTCCTATTACAGTGGTTCCCTGTCTTGGGTAACCCAGGTGTTCTTGGACTACAGTTCCCAGAAGCCTTCACCACCAGCTGTGTTGGCCAAGATTCCTGTTACATGGGACTTGCCTTACTATGCAATCCTACACAAAAGTAGGCACTGTTAGATGCAGTGGTACTGACTTCCAGATAAGTGCATAAGGGAGCACAGCCTTAGCCTTTGCATATTGTATTTTTTATACAGAACTGTCCACTTCTCTCCTGTTTACCAGAAACCTCTTGTATGCCAATCCAACTGCCTTCTGCTCATTGTTGAATGTGTGATTGACGTCTGCTCATCTTTCCAGTGTCTCCTGTGAGAAAAAAAAAATAAGGATTTTGTTTTTTAATTGTTTTCAAGTGAACTGATGTGATTTATGCCCCCACCCCATTCTGCTTGTCTCTGGAGCACAGATCCTTTGCCACCTGCAAGATTTGAAATTAAGAAGGAGAAAATTGCAACCACAACTTTGTCAGTCTGGTGGAGCCCGTCACTAGGAAAGGTTGACCAATATGAGCTAGTGTTGCTGAATAGTATCAAAAAAGTTGAGGAGATCCATGTTCCTGGAGGTAATTCAAGAAATGAATGGATGTTTGAAAATCTTACTCCTGGCACCAAATACACCATCTCAATCACTGCAGTTGCTGGAGACAAAAGGAGTCCTTCAACTGATATCAGTGGTTCTACTGGTAAGATTTCTCTGTTTAATCCTTCAAGAGAGATTCTCTTACAATTTTCTAATGCTCCCTGAAAAGGTATGGGGAAAACCATGTGGGAATGAGCACAAATATCTGCCACAAGATTTATGAGTGAAAAACCAACCATCCATTCTAGTCACTAAATCAAGTCTTCCTTAGTAGTAATAGGAGGGGAAAGTGTCCACTGAATTTTTCCCCATGTTGGGGACACAGCTTCACAGTAATGTATTAGCCTATAATTTGTATGCACTTGTGAGTTACTGCATCTGTGTATATTAAAGTCATTTAAAATTGTAGGATTTGTGGCAGGGAGAACACCACCCTCTTCTCCTCTCCTCCACTGATTGGAGAGATTCTTGTATTATTTCTCAGAGAAATGTGTCTTAATCCTGGGTGATTGTATGGAACAAGAACTCTGTTATGGGTCAGCTTAAAAAGACCAAGGTCTCCTTGTGCTTTCACAAACTTGACTAAACGTATATTGGTAAGGAATGTTATTACCAGAAAATGGGCACATGCACTGATCCTGAATAATTGACCAGAATTATCTGAACAACGTCTTGAATAGTTCTCCTTTCTCAAATAATGGTATAGATAGCTGCTGAAAGGTATACATCGCTGAAAGGTATACATAGCTACTGAAAGCATCATACAGAAGATGATGGTAGTTAAAAATTCATAATTTACAACCAAAAATATATTGTGTGTGGTTTCTGATTGCATCAGGAATACATTGTGTGTGATTCTTGATTGCATCCTGATCCTATATCAGGAATTAGGCAACCTTACTTTGGGAGGCTAGTAGGTTACAATTTCTCTTCTAGGCATGTGTAGTATATTAAAATAAATCTGTTATTTATAAGTAATATTTGAGGCTTCTTTTTGATGGATTAGTGGTAATGGTGCATGGGTATGGGTCAGTGCAGGTGTGTTTGCAGATCCTGGATATTTTTAACTACTTTGCCATTTTGTGTCTGCATCTTTTTCTTTTCTTTTCTGAATAGCACCATCTCCAGTGGAAAATATTGACATCTCAGTCAAAATGGACTCAATCCATGTTTCTTGGTCAAAAGGGGCTGGAGATGTGGATCAATACAGCCTAGTTTTGATGGATAAAGATGTTCTTGTTCAACAAACATATCTAGAGAAACACTATTTGTCATACAGCTTTTCAGGATTAACACCAGGATGTTTGTATAACCTCAGTATCATTGCCAAGGCTGAAAGTCTGGAAAACCCCATTTCTCGATTAATTAGGACTGGTAAGATTTTACAATATGAGACACACTATTGATAGAGTCTCAGATTAGGACTCAGGAGACTTGGGTTCAAATCCCTGAATGGCTAGGAAGCCTGATGCAAGAGAGTTGCAATTTAAAAAACACTTATGGAATACCTCATATACCTCAAAAATATAAGTCATCATAAATGGAAACAACATGAAAGTATATGGCACTAAAATTTGCAACTCTTTTCCAGGTTAAGAGAAATGAGTTTTATTACAATATGGACTTCCCTATGTTATAGCTGCCTTCATCAGATATACTAAGTGTTCTCCATTATTTCAGATTGTGTGTGTGTGTGTGTGTGTGTGTGTATGCACATGCATGTGTGTGCACAATCAATTGTACACATGGGTGGGGATGTGACTGTAGATAATCAGTGGACAGTGCTGATAGTGAATATCACATTTGTGATAGAAGCATTTCACATAACTATTCCTAAAAGTACAAATAAACTTGAACTAGGTGAGTGATTAATTTGGTTTAATTATTGACAGGGCATCTTTGTTACCAGAAATAGTTTTGTGAATGACACAACTGTGAGAAAGAGATTTCTATTTGAGGTTAACTGTAATTTAGTGCATCATCTGAATCTTAAAATTATAGTTAATCTTAGCTGTGGCTAAGCAATTTTCATACACCAAAGTTGAAGATGGCTTGGTTTAATTAGCTAAAATTAAGATTCACCACAGTTGGTTGGGTTTGCTGGAGGAGGAGAAAAGAGCATGGCTCTGGGGCTCACTGATGCTTATTTTCATAATTTATTGTAATTTTAAAAAATTACGGCTTAATTCCAAATCAGACCCACTGTTTAAAGAATATTGGTTGTCTGTTGGCTAGCAGCCCACTGTTTTTACCCATCACTGAAGTATCAGTGAAAACCTTGAATCTTTCCAAATTTGATCCTGGCCAGTCAGAGATCACAAAATGGATGCATGCTGTTGTGATGCTTTTTAGCCATTGGATTTGGTTATTTGATGGTATCACTAATGGGAATTTAAATCCACACAGTAAAGGTACTGCTTCCTACAAGTTCATATAAACAATCCTAAGCAGTCAAGAATCACGAAGTGAATATTTTTGCGGCTCTTTTAAGAGTTAGTAATTCTAATAATTGAGAATTCTAATAATTACGTAATTGTAATAATTAAGAAGGCAGATTCTTTCAATCTTACATACACCTTTGTGTTCAAACCTGCTTAGTATTATTTCTGTAAACACTGATAACGAAATTGCACCTGATGTGAAGAATATTAAATCTACTGTAGTTCTGAGTTACACGTTTTGTTTGTTCAGGAGGCTCACATCTTAGTCTTTTTGTTTTAAACAGACCCAGCCAAAGTCTTAGATTTAATGGTAACTAACGATGGCAGCCTGAATTCATTAAAAGTATCATGGAAAAGGCCTTCAGGGAACCTGGACTTCTTCAACGTCACCTTGTTTCATCATGGATCTATTAAAGGACAGAACACTTTACAGCCACAAGTCACAGAGACATATTTTGACAAGCTAATTTCAGGATGCCTTTATCAGATTGATGTCAGAACAGTCAGTGGTGAACTGTTCAGTGAAATGACAGCATATGGAAGGACAGGTATGGCTCCAGCCTTGATAATCCTATGTTTTGATCTTTTCTGTTGACTGCCTTCTGAGGATAAAACATGGATAGGATCCAGAAATTAGTCATACTTACAGCACACCCCTTGAAATTAGTGGTACTAAAACTAGTTGTGTCTAGGGAGGTAAAAAGGAATACCAATGGGGTGTCATCGATAGAGCAATGGACTATGACTCAGGAGGCTTGAGTTTGAATCCCCACTTAGCTGTGGAAGCTCACTGAGGGTATAGAACTGGTAAATCCATTCATTAATCACTTACCTTGAAAAGCTATTAGGGTTGCTATAAGTCGGTTTGTTCCTGGCAGTACATAACATAACAAGGGAGGTTAAAATATCTATATCAAATCTTTCTATATTTCCCTAAATTCCACTTGCATTTTCTGGTCACCTTTTTATAATCACAAGACTTTCCAGGCTTATTGTTGCTTTTCTCTCAAGAAAAAAATTTATAGAAATTTAAACCCCTTTTTTTCTAATGTCCATATTTGTTTACACATTTTACCAATTTACACATTTCCCTATTAATGAAAGAACATTTGTGCCTATTTTTCAAAATGGCACACATTTTTACCTGTTCCCATTTTTTTAACAAGCCCATGGCTTCATGCCCGTTTTATTGCATTTAGAGCTTCCATGAGACTTGCAAATGTGCAGATTTCTTGAACTGAGTTGCATCTATCCTTGTAAGAAATCTTGAGACATGCAGACAAGCTGCATTTATTGAGACAACTGATCTCTGTACATTGATTTTCAGTCCTTAGTCATGGATGGCTACCTTAAACCTGCAGCCATGGCTTAACAGCATTGTGCGCTGCTGTAGTAGCTCTCTCTTGGCCAGTCTTGCCCACAGAAGCCTTTTGGGCACAAACAACTGCCTCATCCCTTAGAAAAGTTGTGGGCACACTGTGATGTTATCTCAGCAAACACAGAGTTATGATATGAATTTTGGAGGAACCACTTGCAGGAAAGCACTGTTGATGGAACCAAGGCTGAAATCCTTACAGAACCCCAAATTCTCGCTGTAAATGACACCATTCCAACCATTCCTTCCCTAGCCAAGTTCATGTCTTGTTTCAGTCCTATCTAGAAAAAAAGGATGTAAAACTGCCAGGGGGCATTTAAACAGGAGGAGCAATGAAGTCGGAGAGTGTTGATTATATCTTCCCACGTGCTGAGACTCCCTTCCACATTCCTCTTAGTGCTTGCATTACAAAGGAAAGGGGAGTCTGAGCCATCCTGCCGCTGCTTCTTTGTTTATTAAAAAACATTGTAAGTCAATGAACTGAGAACAGTCAGAAGTTACCAAGTAGAGAGGCATTAGTTGAATTACACATTAGTGAACCAATTACTTATTACCTGGTAAAAGTGGTATGGTGTTTCACCTTAAATGCTTTAAATTCTATGTTTCAGTTCCCCAGAAGGTTTCAGAGTTGAAAGTGGACAGCATGGATGGATTGAAATCTCTGAAAGTAAGCTGGCTGCCCCCTACAGGAGACTGGGACAAATATTTTATCACCCTCTTCGACCACACTCAAGTGCTGCTAAATACTACAATGCCAAAAGACAAACAGGAATACATTATCAAGGACTTAGGGCTCATTCCAGGAAGACAGTATGAAGTGGCTGTTACTGTAGAAAGTGGAGGCTTACAAAACACAGCACGCTGCAAAGGAAGAATAGGTAAGCACACTTTCTATGGCAGGAAAGTTGGAAAATCAACACAGACACTGTTTTGCAATGATTAAATTATGTGGTCACATGACACATCTGTTTTAATAAAATGCTTTGTGTGAAGTAGAGAAGGAGATACTCTAAATTTCGATGTGCTAATGTGAAGAGAACCAAACATCATTACAGAGAGATCAGTCAGGAATAGGAAGTTTAAATCTTTGCTGTCTCTTATGAGGGTACTTGTCATTATCTTGTGGATATGATGTCAAGAAGCTACTTTAGCCCATGTCAGACTATTAATTTATTTATCACAATCACTTATTCACATTGGCAACAGTTTTCCAGCAACTCAGACTTCTGTCCTTGATTGGAGAAAAGTGGTATTTAAGCATTTAAGTCAGGATCTTCCAAATTTAGAAGAGTTACTTTTAAGACTAAAACTGTCAGGATTCGCTAAAGATTCTGGGAATTATAGCCCAAGGAATAATTTCCCCAAGCTTTGGCTCAACCACTGAGCCATCACCTATCAAGATGGAGATCTTGATAGAGATAATAGAGATAGAGAGAGATAGAGATAGAGGTTGATACTGTATATCACATCCAGTTCATGAAAAGTGACTGAACAACATAATCCTGTACATGTCTACAAAGGAGTAAGTTTCATTGAGCTCAGTGGTGCTTACTCTTAGATAAATGGCATAGGATGGCATCACAACGAGAGTGAACAACCACTAATGCTTTCTAGATCTAGACAGTATTAGTGGTTGTTCACTAGACAGATCTATATATAAAACTGACAAATGAAAGGGGTTAAAATTGTTTACCATGAGCATTGAGGAAAGAATACACAGCAATCAGTGGGTTCAAAATGAGGCTAAGACTAAATATCAAGATATTCCTAACTGGAGGCAAGGGTGGGGGATAACATATGTTACCCAGGAAAGCTGTGCAATGTTCTCTGAAAGTTTGTAAGAAACAAAGCAGGCATCTGTAAAATTACTGCATAAGGATGTTCAAAGTGATTTCTCAAGAACGTATCTAAATGTATGATTCTGTGAATTCTGGAAACATAATTCTCCCTAAAGTATCCATGGTACAGTAGTCTGTTTTTGTTTTTTGTATCCTACAAACTAAAAACAGCTTACATAGAGTACTGTGTTGGACTTAGGATTTTCATTCTATACAAGACCTAGTACATATTGGTACTAGATAAAAGCAAAATGCCAGCAGTAGTGATACTGCAGTAGTAGTGGTGGTGGTAATAGTACTGTAGCAAAATACTAGCGTATTATCATTGTATTAATTAAAACATCTGTAATTCAGTAATTAACCTGAGGATAATATTTGTGCACAGTAAAAGACATAGCAAATGACTCCCATTATGTATCCATACTTATTTCAGTATGAGGTCTTGAAATTAACTTAATTAATTAATTAGTTAATTAGTTAATAAACCAAAAAAACTACATTTCTTCGCATTTTAGCAAGAAGCTACACATAGCATAAAATAGTCCTAAAGACCAATTTGATGTATGCGTTTCACAAACGAAAGTTATCTACTCCTGAAATAAATTATAGCTATGTGTAGCAAACTAAGTATTTCAAAGTTACAAAAAGGAAGGGTGTAGCCTGAAAAACAATAGATAGGAGGGTGTAAAAAAACCTACATTTCTTCTCATTTTAGCAAGAAGCTACACATAGCATAAAATAGTCCTAAAGACCAATTTGATGTATGCGTTTCACAAATGAAAGTTATCTACTCCTGAAATAAATTATAGCTATGTGTAGCAAACTAAGTATTTCAAAGTTACAAAAAGGAAGGGTGTAGCCTGAAAAACAATAGATAGGAGGGTGTATAAGAAGATCAGGGTGGGAAACCTTGTGTTATCTTACACTTCGTGTTGATTGTTTTTCCTGCTACACCCTCTCTTTTGATTCTTTAGACTCTGTGCACATTTTGATTCTTTGATGTAATATTTTTTCATAACCACAGAACGTCAGATTACTGTAGGTTACAGAAATTTTCTATTTTTAGTTATTTGTGACCTATGAAATTGTTACTGGGCCAGAATGATGCTCCAATCTAGAAGCAGTGTTTACACTGGAATGTGCCTATTTTGTCTTTTCCACATAAGAGGGGAACAAGATGTTTAGACTATGAGGTTAAAAGAAGTTTCATGTCTCTGTTGAAAAACTTCTGTGTCATTTTAAGAAAATTAATATAATTTGATGCACATGTAGAAATTGACATCTTGTACACATTCAGTGCATATGCGAAGACTTCTGTGGATTTCTGGATTGCATCTCTGTCACTGATCTAACTTTGGAATAGAAGCAGTAGGAATTTGAGTTCATAATCTTGACAGCAAAGAAGTACTGCATTTTAATTAGAAAACATTCAATTTATTTAATAACTTCACCTGACCAAATGCTTTTCCCATATGCATTCGACTAAATTTAAAGTCTCGCATAATTAGGAGTCATACTGTCAAACCTTAGGTATGCCGCAGGGGGTATGGTTGTCATCTTTAACACTTAGAACACTCCTCCTTTCAAAGCAACTGCATAACCTGCAGATATAGGCAGAAAGAAATAACAGTTTGCTAATCTGCAGAGTAAAAGCATAGATTTTCTCATTTTGAGGGATGCAATCCCAAGCTTAGTTAAGAAAGAACCAATTGTTTTGGAGGAAAGAGAGCAATAGCTCAGTGGTAGGAGTACATGATCTGCATTCAGGTCCCAAATTCAGTTCTTAGTATTGTCAGAAATCAGATCAAGAGGCTAATACAGGAAGCCTCTGTCTGGGACTGGTCCACCCATGAGGCAAGATGAATCATGCATTTCCAGCAAGATAGTGGGAGAAGCTGTGCATTGCATACTGTTTCTGCCTGCAGGACAGCCTCCCGCTGCTGCCTCAATCCAGTGAGATGGCACTACAGTATCACTGGCCTTTACACTTCTTTGCTAACAAGAATCACAAATAGAAGTACAACGGTACACTATTTGTTTTGCTGTCAGGAATCCCTCAGGTTGATAAAGAGAATGCAGGTTTTACAGGATCTCCTGCTGTCTCTGTCTCCCTCTGAGGCTCTTCCAAAGTTGGTGTTGCAGATAGTAGAATTATTTGTTAAATTCCTCTAGCTGTACAGGAATTCACAGAGCAGAATAGCTTCAGGTTCACCAGAGTAGTATGCCTCTATTGTCATTAAGCTGGCACTTACACTCACTCTGAGACATTAGAAAGAGAAAGAAAAAAATTTTTATTTGTTACAGTTGAACAAATCAAAAAGCAAACTAACGAACGTGAGTGCTTTCAACTATGGACTTCAACAAATTCTAGAGAGGGAGGGAAAGAGCTCAGCAGAGAGACGGGGCTCTCCTGAAAATCAGAGGCAGGGTGGGAATTCTTGGTCAGTGCTGGATGGATTGACAATCACCCCAGCACAGAAAAATCTGTTCCAGCCAAACCTACTAAAGGCAGCATGTGAGGCTGCAAAAACTCCAACAGCTGGTAGGCCCTGTGCAAAGTGGGCTGGCCCACAGAGCCAGACAGACCCAAAGGTCCAGCTTTCAGAAGACCCTTCCACAGGACTAGACATTGTGGAGGAAGTGAATTGAAAGGCCATATTCTCACATTCATGGCTTTGAGAAAAGCACCTCTCTCAGAGCCATGGATTTGTGTTTGGCAGTGGTGGCAGGAAGACATTGGATAAGGGTCTACAGTGGTGGGGCAGGACAGTGCAGCCATTTCCACCTCAGCTTATAACAACACTGTGCCAGTCAGAGTTTTTTGATTAGGCATCCTTCAGTCTCAAGAGACTATGGTAACATGCGCTGTATGGAGGACTTGGAGCAGCATCTAGTGTGGGTGAGGAGCCAATTTGAGAGTGACAATCCCTTCCACACTGAAGAAAGATATGATCTGTTCCCTGTCTAGCTCCTTGGTTTTGCTGCTTTTGGGACTGCCTCTTTTCCTCGGACTGTTGGACAAGCATCTCTTCAAATTGGGAGAGCCCATGAAGCACCACCTGCTTCCAGGCTGAACACTCAGATGTCAGGGTTTCCCATCTATTGAGGTCCATTCCTAAAGCCTTCAGATCCCGCTTGCAGATGTCCTTGTATCACAGCTGTGGTCTCCCTCTGGGGTGCTTTCCCTGAACTGATTCTCCATACAGGAGATCTTTTGGAATCCAACCATCAGCCATTCTCATGACATGCCCAAGCCACCATAGACGTTGCTGTTTTAGTAATATATGCATGCTAAAAATTCCATCTTGTACTAGGACTGCTCTGTTTGGGACTTTGTCCTGCCAGGTGACTCTTTTGTCTCTGCTGGAGGGAAGGTGGAGTACCAAAGCAAAGTGTGCTGCTTATATACCACAGGACATGAAGGATACAAACATTGTCACATTGTATAAGAACAAAGGAGATGGGGTGACTGCAATAACTACTGTCCCATCTCTCTTCTCAGCGTTGTAAGGAAGCTGCTTGCTCATGTTTTGCTGAAGAGACTCCAGGTCCTTGCAGACAGAGTCTATCCAGAATCACAGTGTGGATTTCAAGCTAATAGATCCACCACTGACATGGTATTTTCCCTCAGACAGTTGCAGGAGAAATGTAGGGAACAACGACAGCCACTCTTTGTGGCCTTCATAGATCTCACAAAGGCCTTTGATTTGGTTAGCAGGGATGGCCTTTTTAAAATACTTTGCAAGATTGGATGTCCACTTCTCAACATCATCAGGTCCTTTCATGAGGAAATGAAGGGCACTCTAGTTTTTGATGGCTCAACATCAGATCCCTTCGACATCCAAAGTGGAGTGAAACAGGGCTGTGTCCTCATGCCGAACCTGTTTGGGATCCTTTATGCTGCCATGCTGAAGCATGCCTTTGGAACTGCAACAGAAGGTGTCTATCTCCAGACTAGATCAGATGGAAAGCTCTTTAATCTCTCTAGATTGACAGCAAAGACAAAAGTCCAACTGAAATGCATGTGGGACTTCCTCTTCGCTGATGATGCAACCATTGTTGCCCACTCCGCGGAAGACCTCCAACAACTCATGAATCATTTTAGCAAGGCCTGCCAAGACTTTGGACTAACAATCAGCCTGAAGAAAACAGTCAGAGTATGTTCATCACATAGCTGGGATGGAGTGGAGGTTGTGTTTTGCTTCTTTGGGGTAGCTATTCAGCACATTGAGGACTGTTTGTATGTGCTGATATGGCATGTGGATCAGATCCATCTGTGCAGATTTTCTACAGCTCACTGCTGGGGTTAAGCCACATCACATTTGTATACAACAACTCAGTGTGTAGAACATCCACCATACAGAAACTGTGTAAAATGGAGTTTACATGGCAGTAATATTATAAGCAGCTGTCCTGCAAAGCTGTAGAGAGAATGAAGCAAACTGAGTAGAATGTAGATAGAATTATGTCTGCTTTACTTATACTCATTAAATTCATCTGCTTAGTTCATTATATTTAGCTTCCAGCATAATAAATTATGTCAGTGGAAGAAATAATGTCAATAACTCCTACAGTTCAAGCCATTGTTTACAGACAGTTTCAGTTATCAGAATAAGAATGACAGCATAATGTGTACAGCAATTAATATTTCAGCAAATCTAACTCTCCAACTTACTACAGGAGCCCAAAGGTTTTTGAAATTGCAAAATAACCTTTTTGTGTATTTCCTTATAAGGCTTTTAAAAGTATTACACTACTCTCTCACACACACACTCCTTTCTTTTTTATACAGCTCCACACCCGGTTCTTCAGCTTCGTGTAAAGCATGCTAATGAATCCTCTCTCACTATTATGTGGGTGACCCCTCTGTCTGAGTGGGACGGATATGTGGTTTCACTGGGAGACAGAGCGCTTACCATCCAAAACAAGGCTCTTGCCAAAGAAGCCAAAGAATTCACCTACACTGACCTCTTACCTGGGCGAAAGTATACTGCTACTGTCACCACCATCAGTGGGGATTTGAACAACTGGACTTCAGTTGTAGGACACACAGGTAGTGTACTATTAACATATTATGAACTCCAAGTATCCTCAAACATCAGTTGACAATGCACTGCTTGCTTGGAATCAAACACAACTTTTGAGCGCGTATTTTTAAAAAAATAAGAATTGAAGAACATAAGAACAGAACAAAGCAGATGATTTAGTGGAGGTTATGACTCCTACTTAAAACATCTAAAACTTGGCGCTTTTTTCTTTTCTTTTTTTTTTCTTTTGCACTAGGCTTCTGAGTTTGCCTATTGACCTCTGCCATCTGGTTCTGAATTTTGAGGCTTGCAACAAAACATTGCAGCTGTGTACTACCAGTCCTGTGGAAATTTGTCATAATTATACCTCCAGCACTAGTAAGGGTTAATTTGTAGGCAGGATTAGGAAGAAAGTTCTAGCCTCATCCTCTTCATGTCATTGTCTCCATGAAGAAAGGGACTATCTAAAGAGGGAAGCTTCTGCTGTAGGGGGAGTCTCTCTACATTATGAAGGATCCTGAAAAGCCACCACCCACCACCACTATGTGGGGAGGATCAAAGTATAGCTGTAAGTCTGCTTATGACAGGCAGTGGGCAGGGCTACAACTCTCTTCTTTATCATGCTTTCAAATTAACTCTTTTTTTGAATGCCTGAATCAAGTCATTTTACATATAATTCCTGATGAAGACCATTTGGTCAAAATGCATTCCAGCAACTGATTTTGCAAATACCAGAGGTCAACATGTCATTAGGAGCAGAAATCATTTTGGTGTTTCAAAGAAGTAGTTTGGGGGGGGGTCTATGTGTCTGAGCAATCATACTTGCAAGTGAGCATATTTTCTTCCCTGTGATCAATGACAAAACTAAGCAAAATAATTTCCAAACTATAGGAAGTGTGAAAAACTCCTGCTGTGACAGTGAGAAGTAGTCCAGCACTTCAGGAATTCCCTTTCTGAATGCAAGATACGTGCTGTTTAAATTGAAGTCATGCAATGGTTATCATTTTAGAGGTGTTTTTTTTAATTTTGCATAGAATGTATTTATAGTTATGGTCTGTTTCTCACTCTCTTTATTATTATTATTATTATTATTATTATTATTATTATTATTATTATTATTATTATTATTATTATTATCCCTATGATACCATCTTGTTGGGCCTTTAATAGAAATGTGTAAATACTTCCTCCTTAATTTTGCCGTTGTAGTTTTCAGGCTTATTTACAGTAAACAACTGTATCTGTTTGTTAATCTAAATTCTGCTCTTGAACTGTAGTTCCAGCACAAGTGACCAGCTTAAATGTGACAAACCAAGAAACAACCAACAGCTTGTTTACCACCTGGACAAAGGCACGTGGAAATGTAGATTCTTATCAAGTGTTGCTCATTCATGATAACGTTGTCATAAAAAATGAGACTGTTTCCAGTAACACAAATGGATACCACTTCCAGTCTCTAAAACCTGGAGGACTCTATTCAGTTGTTGTCACTACTATTAGTGGAGGGATATCTTCCAGACAAGCAATTGCTGAAGGAAGAACAGGTATTTATTTGTTTCTTTTTTTAATAAAGAGGTATCCCACCCATTTCTCTGAGAGAGAAAACATTGCAGCAAAGGAACAAGCAATATAGAAAACAGTAAATTTTCATTCCTTACACATATCTTCAAAGCCCAGTTTAAAAATGACAGTAATAATTTGTAAGAACAGCATTTCAGCCATAAGAGTTAAACTATAAGAATCTTTAAAACATTTAATCAAGTGCTTTCTTAAAGAGGCATATCTTCACATATTGCTTAAAAACAGTACTATACTAGAGCCTGAAATGTCTCTGTTGACAGAGCATTCCACAAAGCAGGTGTGATCACAAGTAAGGCTTTCAGCTGGAGTGGGAACCTAAATTAGGGGTTGATTCCCATTCCCTTCATTCTCACTGATGCTACATCAACTGGTTGAGTTCATACCCCCTTGACATTATTTGGGTGCTTATTTAAAGAACTGGATGGAGTGTCACAATTTTTCATTGTTGTCAAATCTTCACATCAACTAATTCTTCAACATGTTTTATATAAATGGCTACTTTCATAGTTACATCACATCATGGATTCAGTAGTTTTCATTCTGTATGCCTTCATATCCCACCCCTTTCCACGTGAAAATATTGATCATTCCATAATGAAGAGTTTTAACCTATCATCCAAATAGATAACAATGACTTGAGTAAGATTGTCTTTTAAGCCCACTTGATAAAATCTTATTTCCATGTGAAAATATTGATCATTCCATAACAATGACTTGAGTAAGGTTGTCTTTTAAGCCCACTTGATAAAATCTTAGAAAATCCTTAAAGTGACAGCTAGAATGTTTAACTCAAGGGCTAGCAATGGCAGAATTGAAGTACTTGAACATTCTAAAGGAGTAATGTTAATTCACTGGTTGAGAATGTATCACATTACTTGATCCATTGCAAGATAATCTGAAAACTCTTCTACAGTGACAGTATTTCCTCAGGTGTACATAAATGAAGCTGGTGTTTGCCTCTCAATGACCGAGACAGCTTGTAATTAGAAGCATATTCATCTCCAGTGACAGTATTTCCTCAGGTGTACGCAAATGAAGCTGGTGTTTGCCTCTCAATGACCAATCACCAAGGCAAAGGTATTTGCAAATACAGCACTGAGAGGGAGCACCACTTCTAAATGCAGAGCTGATTCTTCTAGTGTCTCCTCTGGTGGTGGTGGTGGTGGTGGTGGTGCAGAAACCATAATTTCCAACTGTAATAGAGATAGCTAAGAATTTTGTCTCGCCAAGGAAGTTTTTCTTTTTAGAACTCTTTCCACTAGAGGGCAGGAAGCACTAAATATTTCCATACAGAATTCATCTCTTGTGACGATGCATGTATGAGGATTCAATGCATAGTAATTTTTTGTGAAAGTAGTGAGTCATGTTACTTTTTTGTGGTTGGATGTTTTACTGCTTAACTTACAAGGAAACTAGCACATCCCAAACCATGAGTCAGATTTCTAGGACTCGGTTAGATTGTTTTGTATTCAGTGACCAACTATGAGAATTCTCTGGTTCTGTATGTTACCCTCACCCTGGCACTGAAAGTGTGAACTAAATTTTTGTCTAAAAGAAGTGGACAAAATATTGGCCTCTAGCCTTGCTCTTCAGGGATCATATTTCTTGCATTTTGGTCCTCTATACATGAGAGCACATGTTAAGTATGTATAATAGGAAATGATTTTTTCTATTAAATATGCTGTTTTGTTTATTGCTTTATTGTACAGTTCCTGCCAGTGTAAGTGGCATAACAGTGAACAATTCGGGGCGGAGCGATTACCTAAGTGTTTCCTGGCTGCCAGCTGTTGGAGATGTAGATAGCTATTTGGTTACACTCTCTCATGGAGGGCAAACTGTTCATATTCTCACCATTGCAAAATCTGCCAGTGAATGTTCCTTCAACACCCTCATCCCTGGGCGACTCTATGATGTGATAGTAACCACAAAGAGTGGAAAATATGAGAACCGATCCTTCAGTCAGGAAAGAACAGGTAAAAATGGCAGAAGAAAATATAAAATCTACTCAGTCTGTCATGTATATTTCATGGCTCTTGGGTAAGCTAAATAATATTCTTAGAATGGGCTCAGCACCAGTGACAGCAATGAAAAACCAAGGTTGGACCTACCATTTGATGAAAAAAGCCAATTCCAGACATCTTGAGTGGTGTCAGGTAGTCAACTACCAGTGTCATGATATAGTCAGACATTGTTGGTTCTCCACTTTGGAAAGGTGGACAGCCACTTTTGCAATTTTCTGCCTCTGGTCTGACAGGTAACTCAACTGGCTGTGGTAGAATGCATATTTGGTTGGATGATCAAGGAACATCCTTCACCTCAGCAAAAGGCCCAAGCCAGCAATGGCACGAACTGTGTCACACTTCTTGGGTCATTCACACTTGTCACCGAAAGGCAATTTATATCTTTTTTTTTTCCTATAAACAGCCACTTGAGACAGATAGTGGATCCATAGCAGAAGTAAAATGTCTGCTCAGGATTCACAAGTCCTCATCCAAATCAGGAGACTGACCTACTGTAGCTATCATGTGCTGGCTCAAGAACTAATGGCAAAAAGTCAGATGCTTATCAGGATATAAATTTATACCTTACCAAATATGTATTCAGATGGTGCTTGAGCATATCCACATGCTGGCATACGCAGGCCTGGCCCAAGACATTTATCTGTCGACAGTAGAGGAGCAAGTGGGATCTGCCTTCCCTAAACTTACGTACATAGAACCTGGAACTAGATCTGTTACTTAGCACTCCTGATCCACAGGATTCCTTCCACCTTTGGAATTCTAAGATTATTAAAATCCCAGATGTTCACTTTTCAGGCCCACCTTGTCAAATGCATTTATTGAGAACTACCATATTTTTCCATATATGAGATGATACTTTTGTCTAAAATCTTTAGACATGCCTTATACATGGAAGTAAGGAGGGGGGGAAGGGAGCAAAGTGCTTGCAGGATTGCTTTGATCACTGCTTTCCTCTTTTTTCCTAAGCCCCTTGACAAGAAAGTGGAGGGGGAAAGCAGGGATCAAAATTGTGAAGAAAGTGGAGGGGGAAAGCAGGGATCAAAGCACTTTGATCCCTACTTTCAGCACTTTGATCCCTTCTTTCCCCCTCCACTTGCTAAGTGAAGGGAGAAAGCAGAGATCAAAGCAGGCTTAGCAAGAAAGGGGAAAGCAGAGAGCAAAGTGATCCTGCAGCGCTTTGAACCCTGCTTTCCACCTCCTCTTGCTAACCCCAGTTAGATTTCTTAATTTTGGGTTAACACCTCCACTTGCTAACCCCACTTAGATTTCTTAATTTTGGGTTTAAAAAGGAGTGTTATACATGGAGGAGTCTTATACAGGGAAAATACAGTACTACTGGATCAAGATAGCTATTCACAGGGATTCATTGGCTCCCCTTCCTCCACACTTCAATTTTCTTTCTCAAATTAGTCTCAGCCTGTACTGCACTTTTATTATTTCTGAAATCAGGACGCACTGAATTTATGTTCTATCTTTTCAGTGCCTTCAAAAGTCCAGGGACTTACAGTGAGCAATTCTGCAAGAAGTGACTATTTAAAGGTGTCCTGGCTACATGCCACAGGAGACTATGATAATTATGAAGTGATCATCAAGCATAACAAAGAGTTCATCCAAACAAAAAATGTCTCTAAGGATGAAAACGAATGTGTATTCACTAACCTGGTTCCAGGGAGGCTGTACAGTGTCACTGTTAACACATGGAGTGGGAAATACAGAACATATGAAACAGCCAGTGAAAGGACAGGTAAGTAAATGGCCCAGAGTCAGCTATTACTTTTGTAGATTTAAAGTTCCACTTAAATGTTTATAGGTTTTTGTTAAATTCAGGTTTTAATCTTTTGAAATTAAACAAGTGATTGTATTATGACACAAAGACCTCTTTGCATTTCTTCAGTCATCATACAGCAGAATGCTATATTTATTTCCATTGTAGCTTAATGCTGGGAGCAAGGTATTAATAAGCCAACACAAGTGCTAAAATCTAGGTGAATCCAACCTGAATCTTAACATTATCCAGTGAGCCCATGTGAATGGTGTGGCAATCCTCTTTTATGCCCAAGTATCCAACCTCTTCTCAGCTCTAAAATAGGAACCGCATACAGACCATGCATATAGCAGTAATAAAATTGCAACACTACTTACCAAAGAGTTTTGCTATCACACAGGGAATCTTTTTTTTTTTTTACTTGTAAAATATCATCCCCTCCTTCTGGAGAGTTCTTATGTGTTTTTTTACTGCACAAATATGAGCAGATTCACTCAGAAGTAAGTTCAACTTTGTTCAGAACATAAAGATAATTGAAATGTAACACGTGGCTCCATATCATGTGTTGTTTTTTTCCCTTATCTAATTACAGTTTGGGAGAAGGGTCCCTTACAAGAATTGTAGCAGGACAGAAAGAGACTTATCTCGTTTCTCCACAGTCCAGTCAGAGCAAACTCCCCCACTACATGGCTATAATGCTTAGGGGGCAATTCCCATGGGTATGAAGGGATGACAGGGCAATTAAATTTGGCTACAGTTGCACTACAGAAGGGAAGAGATAAGCCTCTATCTCCATACAGTGCATTTCCTGTAAGATGTCCCCTGTCCCTTCACCTAATAGTAGGAAGGGATGGACCAATCTATCAATTTTCAGCAATGGCTGTTAATTTTATCTGTCATTGTTCTGTCTGCTTTCTCTTAGTCCCAGAATCCGTGAAGAAGTTGACTCTTAGTGGAAGAAGCACTGAAGAGCTGCATGTTACTTGGTCCAAAGCTGATGGTGATTTTGATCAGTATGAAATACAGCTTCTCTTCAATGATATGAAGGTTTTTCCACCCAATCATCTTGAAAACACTGTTGAAAATTTTCGGTTCACCTCACTCACTCCGGGACGCCTTTACAAAATTCTTGTTGTGACCATAAGTGGGAAAGCACACCGTGCAACTTTCATAGAAGGACTGACAGGTTAGGAAAAAAAATACTGTGCAATGATGTTGTCTGTGAAGATAGATATAACATGCAGAACTTGGAGGAATCATATTTCTGGACTATAATGGCAGGGAAATTGTGTGAGTTATTGTTCAAAACAGTAAGTTTCCTAGTTCTGATAACAAGTACAGCTGCTTGCACTGTAATTTTTGACAGGTTTCAGAGGCTACTGTGCCGTTGAGGAGATAGGTCTGATCAAGGGATATGGGTTTCATTCCTAGCCCTGTGCTGATGAACCCAGAGTCGCACAACAGGCAGACCCATTTCTTTATGTGAGGCCTGCCTTAGTTTCACGTAGTGTGAGATGGGGGTGTAACATAAGGTGCAAAGAATGGGGCCTGGCCCATTTGCCTTATGTCACCTCGCTCACCCCTACCCCATCCCAGTTCATTGTTCTTCCAGCCATCCTCTCATGCTGGAAATAAGGCTCTGTGGAAAAAAAAAACAAATCTGAGTAAAGTAGTTGCTGGGAAGCAGGATAAATGGGAAAAAGTTCAGCATCTCCTTTGCCTTTTTTTTCACTTTAAGTTGCAGTCAGGTTCAGCATCATCAATGCAGAATAAGGAAGCTTCTCTAGGCAGTAGCTGCTAAGCAGTGGTGATCAATTAAAACAGAGTGCCCCGCTGGATCTGCCCTGCTATCTTCTAAGGTAAAGGATGCTGTACTTCTTGCCCATGTTGAAGTAAGATTTAGCAACTGGTCTAGTCAGATACAGATGGAGGGAACTATCATTTTTCTGTCTATGTCATGACTGGAGCAGGTGTGTCTTAAAGTCTCAAGTCTACCTGCATTATGAGTAATATGGCTCTTTTTGGAATAATATAGAGTTATTTATTTTCATTCTCTATCTGAAACTTGACTGTTTCACCTTGACTGCCAAGAAATTTCTTGACAGTCTCTTTTCCTCAGGGGACATTTGCAGTACCCAGAATATAAACTGCCTAATATCATCACAACATTCAGGTTGTACCTGAATCATGTTGTAGGGTTTTAGATCAGCTTATTTCAGCCTTTCCTCCATATCTTAGTATCCAGTGCAACCATAAATGCAGATGGTTTTGCATATTCAGAGTAAATCAAAGGTCCATGCATTCAGTCCATTTTCCATTTTCCTTCTGTAGACTCAGGACCAGGTGCCTGCAGTCTTCCTCCAAACTGTTCACACCATTCACGCCTGTGGCAACGTCTCAGTATTTGTGTATTAAACCAAAAACTGACTCCTCCTATATCTTTTAGTCAAATCAATAACTGGCTTTCAAAGTTTTGTTTGCTACACCTTTACAGACAAAATGGTATCTGTTGCTGACTTCCTTGACCATTCTTGTTTGACATCCTCCCCTCCCCCCATTTAGTTCCAAGCGCTGTTAAGAACATCCATATTTCCCCCAGTGGAATGACCAACAGCTTGAAAGTGAATTGGACCCCTGGAGGAGGAGATGTTGACTCTTACACTGTTACAATATTCCATCAGAGCCATCTGCTTGATACCCAGACAGTTTCCAAACATGTATATGAGCACACCTTTAACAAACTGGAACCAGGAGAACAGTACACTGTTGTTGTACAGACAAAGAGTGGGACCTTGCACAACAATGCATCAGCAGTTGGACGAACAAGTAAGTTTCTCATCAAAACAAAGAGATGCTGATGAGGTCCCTCGGATTTTCCCATTGATGGAGCATTAAGAAATGTGTAAAATGGAAGGAATTAGCTGTGTTATAATTTTTTGCATGTTACTTTCCAAGTTCTAGGTTCAGGCTTCAGTTCATAATGATCAATTAGAATGTCATCACAAATAAGAGTTTATATTTTTCTAAAAAAAATCTGGATTCATCATTTCATAGCAATCAAATATAATTGGAATTATATACTATGTTCATAGCAATCAGATAAAGATCTTTTGAACATGTACCAATGAAGAAGCAAGTATTGAGCACCCACTCAGAGGTATGCTGTCTCTGCATAGGTAAAATCTTTCAAAAATCTCCCAAGAATTATGAGGTGGACAAATCCATTTTCTGAGAACCAGATGAATGTTGGCAACATCACTTTCTCAGGCAATAAGTAGTGTCTGATTCCAAAACTAATATTTACTCAAACTCAAATAGAAAATGCACCTCCATTTTCCAGAAAGTAAATGTATTTGCACTGATTTGCTTAACTTAATAGCTGCTTATTAAATTAAACCATTTAATAAGCAGTTCCAACTTTTGAAAGGAAACAAAAATATTTATTTTCACATTACATCTCTCTGGTTTATAGGAGGTTAACCATGGCCATATGGATATTATCAGACTATATATGTCTCCACTGGCTATAAAAGACTAGGGCTGCTAGGTTACTATCCAGCAAGATCTAGAGGACTCAGTTGGCCACCCTGATCTAGCAGAACTGAGATGTGGAGAATAGTGAACAACTTTCTGGGAAAACCAGAATGGGTAGTGTATGTAACTTACCCATTCTCCACTAAAGATCATCATCATAATAGGAAACAGAAAGAAGATTGAGCCCCCCCCCCGAGAGAAACACCAAAAAATGAAAAAATTATACCCCTTTTCAATAATCCTATGCAGAGCTTTGGACAACAAATCCCAAAATTCCCAACCAGCATGTGCACCAGTTAGAACTTTCTGGTTCTAATTACGTAATTAGATAAATTAGTCAAAGTTTTGATTTCATGATGAGTCAGGGATATAAAATAAACTAACATGGTCAAATGATCTAGTAGACTGAAATATTAAGACATGAGACTCTCATTTTAAACAATTGTTTCCAGTTCCTGCTCCTGTTCAGGAATTGCATGCAGACCACGCATATAGCAGTAATTCCCTGGTGGTATCCTGGCATAGTGCAGCTGGTGTGGCTGAACGATATGACATCCTGCTCCTGACTGAGCAAGGCAACCTTTTGATCAACAAATCCGAACCAGCTACTGCTAAACAGCACAAATTTGAAGATTTAACACCAGGCAAGAAGTATAAAATACAGATGCTGACAGTCAGTGGTGGCTTCTTCAGCAGCAGAGCAGAAACAGAAGGTCAAACAGGTAATTCCATATTTTTATTAGGGTGTAACAAATAGCTATGGCAGTAAACAGTGGCTATACCAGAAAAACATGCTTGATTTTTGATCAGTTTATAAATGTGTCATGAATATTTGTATTCTAATTTTATGGAAGAATGAAAACTATTATTTTAAAGTGATTTTTAGCTAAGCTAAGGCAGAATAATATTTCAAAATCAGTCCACCAGATAGGCCAATATATTAACTTTTAAATATTTCCTCCTGTTAGCTTTAGTTTGGCATAGAAAAGTGGCCTATGGTACTGCAGATTTATAAAACATGTTCGCATTGAGTCAAAAGTTTCAGTTGAAATTAATGTGCACATAAGTGGAAGATGGAGACAAGTGATTGAGAGAACAAGATTGATTGATTGATTGATTGATTGATTGATTGATTGATTGATTGATTTGACTTATATACCTCCCATTTAACCAGAGGCCACTCTGGGCAGTTCATAATGTGAAACAGTAAACAATAAGCAAAACTTCTAACCCTATAGAGTAAACTACAACATCAGCATTAGTATACAAACCAATACCACATAATAAAATAGATACACATTTAAACATGTAAAATAACAGCATTATGATCTTAATAACTAATAATTTCACTGGGTTCCATTGATGGGTCGGAATGCAAAGCCTCTCAGAACAGGTTTTTAAAAGCTTCTTAAAGGCACCAGCCAAAGGGCCAGCTGGATAGCAGGAGGGAGTTGCTTCCAGAGTCTATATTAATTCATCTGGAGTAACAGATATGAGCCATTACCAGAGGTGATGCTTAAATTAGCATTTCCCACATGTAAAATACACATTGGCAAAGATCCCATGGATTACTTCTGTATCACATGCCAGCAGAATCAAGATTTCTTTCATTTCTGTCTCCTGCTGCAGCTTTTAATTGCAGCAGGAAGCTTCTCCAGAGTGTTTCTCAGCCCTCTGAAGCAGGTTTTGAAGACATGCAGAGAGCTGTGGGAGGGAGTGGAGTTACTGATTCTGGCGGAAGCAGCAGAGTCCAGCAAAAATAGCATGATTGAATTCTGCCATTGTCTAAAATATGATATTCAGGTGCGGAGGAGGGACTCTCTTCCTCCTCTGGTTAGAGACATTCTTTTTAAAGAACTAGCTGTGTTTGCCTCAGCATGCTAGTAAAAGGGAAAAGGAAAGGCAAAATATTGTGGCTTTCATGGATCAAAATTCACTTCTTCGTACACACCTGTATATGCCCTGTGTCTGAAGAAGTGCATAGATTTTGATCCACAAAAGCTCACATCATTAGAAATCCGTTAGTCTTTAAAGAGCTACAGTGTTTTTCTTTTTTCTTGTCTTCTGCCAGAAAATTCTTTGTGTTCTGTATTAAACCATGCCTGAACTAAGGCTAGTTTGAACAAATAAATGTTGGAATGGGAAAAACAAAACTTCTCTTAAAGTGTGCAAATAGCATATGGTAAAAATGATGGCTGAATCCAATAGTAAGTTGCAACTAGAGTAGGACAATTGAATCATGGAACTTATGTAGATATTAAATCTTCAAATAACCACTGATTCCCTGGGACTACTCTAGTTGCAACTTACTACTGGGTTTTAGCCACTATGTTCTTTTAGTGTTTAGTAATCATCCTGATTTGTGATTCCCTTTTCCTGGGGGTATACTGGGATTGCGCATCTTGCCAAGTTTACACATGCTGTCTCTTCTCCCAAAAGCCACAATAGGGAATTGAAATCCCACTCTGTGGCTACACAGCTAGGTACTTGAGTAGCATTCTTTCCACAGTAATCAGTAAATTCAGAAGAAAAGATTGTGGGCATATGCCACAATAGTGAAATCCCAGTCTGTGGCTACACAGCTAGGTACTTGACTCACTGAGTCACATTCTTTCCACAGTAATCAGTAAATTCAGAAGAAAAGATTGTGGGCATATTTAAGCATCATTTCCCAGGATGAGAGGATAATTCTGCTACCCACTTCTTACTGCTTGCTAAAGGGTTGCAATCATATTTCTAATTTCAGTTCCAGCAGCAGTCACAAATCTCAAAGTCACAGAAAGCACAACTGGACGTCTATCATTTACCTGGACTGCTTCTCAAGGAGAGCTGGACAAGTATGATATCTTTCTGTATAATCCAGATGGCTCTCTGCAGGACAGAATTTCAGGGAACCGGAATCTGCAGCAGTATTCTTTCCAGAACTTGGTGCAAGGCAGGTTGTACAAAATGGTGATTGTTTCCCAGAGTGGCAAACTTACTAATGAATCATCTATATTTGGGAGAACAGGTAAGAGTGCCTTATAGACTAATCCATCAGATATACCTCAATGATCTATTGTAAATGCTGTTCACATTCATACAATTTGTAGTTAATTACATCCCAGATTTGTTTTCCATGTGTCACCTAACAGTGACCATATTCAGATACTGTATTGCCAAAAGACGGATTGAATGACAGTGTCAATGATCTATTGTAAATGCTGTTCACATTCATACAATTTGTAGTTAATTACATCCCAGATTTGTTTTCCATGTGTCACATAACAGTTTTCACCCAGTGACTATAATCAGGTACTGTATTGCCAAAAGACGGATTGAATGAAAACGAGCAATCCTACCTGCCTTGGTTCCTGGCAGCAAGTATTGACCAGATTGTAAGCCAGCCCAGGTTAAGCTGACAAACCTCATAAAGATTTATAAGCAGACAGAAGCTAAATCTAGGACACCAAACCAAGGTCAAGGTAACACTGTAAATAAGACTGATAAGGAGCAAACAATGGAGTCTATGAAAAGCCATGCCAGAGTCACAAAAAAGAAGCCTATGAACAGGGAGAAACAGAGTAGAGGTCCAGTAATGAGTCTGATGCCCGGGGACCTAAAGTTTTACCAGGGAGATAGCCAAAGTGAGACACTGTTTCCAACAGCTTTTGGAATTTACTACACACACATAGCAGAAACAAGTCAGAAGTTGCTAACAAAAGAGATTCTACACCCAGAACTGCCTGTCGACACTGTTTCCAATAGCCTTTGGAATTTACTACACACACATAGCAGAAACAAGTCAGAAGTTGCTAGCAAAAGAGATTCTACACCCAGAACTGCCTGTCCCCAAGGACTGCTTCACCATGCAGTTCTTATTAGCAGGACCATTCAGTCCTGTCTTTCTGTAAATGTCACTCCTCCTGGAAGCTTCAGGGCAGCTCTATTTCACATTATGTTGCAAAACAAAAGAAAGAGGAGGCTCTCCATCTCTTGCTTTGAGAATCTCAGCTCCTTCTGAATCCTGATGTCCAATAAGTCCCATGGGATCTACTTTCTAGGAGCTGTGGGTCCTCATCAGTTGAGGACTTCTCCAATGGGGGCACATTAGGATTGCCCTTCTCCTTTTATGTGTCTAAAATAAGAGGTTTTGAAGATTGATTTACAAGAGCTTGCCACCTTATATGGACCAGGAAGTGTGGTTAATCCTAAAAAGAGTTTGTAGTCAATTTCATAAATCTAAGGCCTGAAATAAGATATGATGGACACTGGGCAATATGAAGTATTGGGGAAAGCATCTAGTGGGTCAAGAAGGGTCAGGTTTGTTTACTTATTAACTTAATTTCTCCTGATAAGGGAGCCCTGATTGTTTCATTGCAAAAGATATTGCGAGGGTATACCCTTTGCTGGAACATGAGTTGGCTGTGCCCAATAGTGTTATCAAAAATATCAATTATTCTAACAAGTTTTTAAGACATGAAGTATTTGTGTGTATTCACACAAATGGACTGGACAGAATCCTGAAATTGGTGTATGAGAGCTCTGTGGCACACAGTGATGCCAGTAATTTACTGCCTGGTGCAAAATCAGGTATACTGAGAAACAGAAGTACGAAGATTTGTGGACTACAATCCTGGAATTCCCCAGGCAGCACTTTGAGAGCAGCAGTCAAAAAACACAGATCGATGTGCCTCTACTGAGAAATGCTAGTGTTATCAAAAATATCAATTATTCTAACAAGTTTTTAAGACATGAAGTATTTGTGTGTATTCACACAAATGGACTGGACAGAATCCCGAATTTGGTGTATGAGAGCTCTGTAGCACACAGTGATGCCAGTAATCAGGTATACTGAGAAACAGAAAGACGAAGATTCGTGGACTACAATCCAGGAATTCCCCAGGCAGCATTCTGGGAGCAGCAGGCAAACAATACAGATCGATGTGCCTCTACTGAGAAATGCAACTTTTAATTTTTAGAACATCATTTTTAGTTCTTATGACTAAAAACTAAAGGTTGAAAATGTTGGAGTTTTGGCAGCCTTTATATGCTGCCTTGGAGAGGTTTAGCTGGGATGGACCTTTCTGGGCTGGAGTGACTGTTTTGGAGAGGTTTAGCTGGGATGGAACTTTCTGAGCTGGAGTGACTGTCAATCCAGAAATAACCTTCCCTACCTCTGATACTGAAGAGAGCCACACCTCTCTGCTTAAGAGTCTTTTTCCTACTCTTTTCCAGTCAGTGTTCAGTTTAAAATAACCTTCCCTGCCTCTGATATTGAAGAGAGCCAAACCTCTCTGCTTAAGAGTCTTTTTCCTACTCTTTTCCAGTCAGTGTTCAGTTTATATTAGCTATGATATAGTTAGTGTGCAATCAGTATGCAGCTATGAGTCAGTTAGGGCCTGTTCGTGTAACCATTCTTTTTTCTCTCTCTATAATATGCTGTATTTTGATCTGTTTAGAACTATCAGTGAAATGGAACTTTTATTCTTTCTCTTACTGATGTCTGACTGAGTTAGTAAGACTGTAAGTGCCAGTTGATGAGAAAACAAAGTCTCTGAGGAGACTTGAAGCTTATTCTGCTGTGTAGGTCTCTGCACTTTCTACTGCATAACTAGAAGGTTTTTTTTTAAAAAATTACCCTTTGCCAAGAACATAAATATTTAGTTCTTATGGCTGAAAACTAGAGGTTGAAACTTTGTAGCCACTGTATGGGAAATCTACAGAGCTGACAGAAAGAGGCATCAATCTGAATGATCAAATATACAGTTCAGTTCCCTTTACAACCCTTGGTCTCTCTTCAGTGACCACTACTATTGGCATTTTAATGCAAGAAGCTGCCTCTTGATTACCGATAAATAAGATGGACCTAATATAGGTGTATTGAGAGAGCCATATCTCAGACAAACTTAATAACTATCTTCTGTCTTTTTTCTAGTTCCAGCACCAGTTACTAATCTCAAAGGATCCAATAAAAATATGACAGAGTCTCTGTGGTTCACCTGGAGCCCAGCAGCAGGAGATGTTGACTATTATGAACTGAATCTTTATCACCCAAATGGCACACAGAAGGAGGTACAGCATGGAAAGGACCTGACAGAATGGTATTTCCAGGGCTTAGTCCCTGGCAGAAAATATACCCTTGTTGTAATTACATACAGTGGTGATATGACCAATACAGCAAACACTGAGGGAAGAACAGGTAAAAAGCAACTCTCTTTTGTGTAGATTATTGCTTCTATAGCCTGCAGTTAGCATGTTGAACTGTGATTGATGAGTGGTATATAATGCAGTCCTAACCATATATAATGCAGTCCCAATATATTAAATGGCAGTGTCTTCCAAGTGTAGCATCTTTCATGGAGAACTGAAAGTTCCTGGAAATTGAGGGACAAGTTATGGCACAGAGCAGTTGTTGTTATATGCTATCAAGTCACTTCTGACATGCAGTGACTCTGTGAATCTCTATGAAGCTGAGTGAGCTGTGTATCTGGCTATGGAGCAATAGGTCACTTCTGATTTACGATGACTCTGTGAATCTCTATGAAGCTGACTGGATAGCTGAGTGAGATGTGTATCTGGCTATGGAGCTAGAGATTGAGAGTTCAGTTCCTTGCTGTGTATCCCAGAAAAGCCAGCCTGTGAAGCCTTGGGAAAGCTGCACAGTCCCAGGTCACCCCCAGATAAAGGGAATGGTAAATCACTTCTGAGTGTTCTCTGCCTAGAAAACCCTGAAAAGGGTCCTCATACCAGAAGTGGCTTGATGACATAAGATGATTATTATTAAAGGTCTTATCATTAACATCCCTGCCTGGGTCTTACAAACCAAAGAAAATGGCTTCCTTTATTCAGTCAGTCCACACCCAGTGTAGAACATACGGTGAAGGAACTGTATCATAAGCATCTATAGTAGACATAAAATGTTATGTACAGTGTTTCCTTAAAAATGTAACATTTAGAAGGCCTGGGGGTGGTGCTGAACCCTGGAGAATGGCAGCTAGTACTGAACCAAAATTTCTTATAAGATCTTTATTTATTTTTTCCGTAGTTCCTTCAAAATAGAAGGCAACTTTGCAAAATTATTTCCAAAATGTCACTATCCTTTTGTGAGTGACTGCCAAACCACCACCAATGTGACACTGCCCTCAAATGATGTTAGGTGTAGGGCATTCTGGGGAAGAACAAAACAATGGCTGAGTTGCCAGCACAATAGTACTGCTAAGGGGAAAGAAGAGGAAAAAGGAACCAAGCTAACCTTTGACCAGTGCTCATGGTGAGCCTCGTCTCTGAGAAACTGTTTGAAAAGGTCACCTTCTCTTTGAGAAATTTACTGAAATGGCCCCCTCAGTTCCTCTTCCCGCAAATAGGACAGAGAATCTCCAAAGGCTACATATGCACAACTGTACTTCAGACTGTCTCTCTCTTTCCCCATGAAGACAGCAGAGGGCTGGACTCTGTTCATGCAGATGTGTTCTGCTTAAACCCTTTTCAAACTCCTGAATAAGGTTTTGGCCCATGTGATCAGGGCTAGATGGACTTCTTTCTTATTAGGTATGATAATTGGTAAATGTAAATGTAGTTCACTACATTTCCAAGTAGTGAAATGTTTCAGCCTAATAAGAAAGAAGTCCAGTTGCCATGACTCAACTTCCAGATGACCTCACCTGGATGACTGAGAATCTTCACAGATATTATCAGGGTTACATGTAATTCTGCAAGTTATCAAACAAGCAGCAAAGCACAAGAACTGCTACAGAATTCACTGTGATGAGAATCTGAAGATTTTGGCCAAAATTCTGCTGGGATTGCATAGTATTAAAAAGGAATTTTACAAGCAGTGTGAACAATCTTGCCTGCTATCTGTTGCATGCACAGACATGTACAAGTTGCAAAACTGATTCATATACTCTTGTGAATGGCAGCGCACATAGCAGACTGCTGACAAAATACAGAAATGTTTCTATAATTGCTCTTCTGTGTGTATGTGTTATGTTCCATCAAGTCACATCTGAGTTACTGCAATCCTAGTAGGTATTTTAAGGTATGTGAGATATTGAAGCAGTGGTTTTATCAGTGGCACCCCCAATGAAGTTTCTGTGGCTCTGTGGGGTTTTGAAACCAGTTTTTCTGAGTCCTAGTCCATCACTATATCATATTGGCTTTTCCCAATAGCATATTTGCCCTTGTGTTCTGAAGAACAACTTGATTGTCCCTGCATAGGGCTTAAAAGGAATGGCAGTGCTTCATAACATTTTTGAAATTGAGGCCCAGCCAAATCCATCAATAAATATTTCATTGACTTTTCTTTTATGCTATTTTCACTGTTTCACCCTGTCAAGCCATTGAAATCAGCTTTGTTCCTGGTGCCATTACAAGGTGTTCAGCTAGATATCATAAACAGTGGCACAGTGGTCATTCTGTTATCAGTAGATGATTTTAAGAATATGAAGGGAGTCCAGAGCCACAGGAAGAATTAAACAAACATGTGAGTCTTGAACAAGCTGGAGTTCTGTGAGTGAGCTTCCTTAAAGTTTTGGATGTTATTGCCTTAAGTATATTATTTGTCAATGAAGACTAATGAGACTTCTTATGTCCCATTCTCCACCTTCTGTCCAGTGCCCTTTCCTCCAAATACTGTTTCATTTGCTGATGTCACAAACATCTCTTTGTCCATCACATGGCTGGGCCCTCCTGACTGGACAGATTATGACGACTTTGAGCTGCAGTGGACCCCAAGAGATAGCCTCAATGTCTTTAATCCTTACAGTAGCAGCAAGTCGAAAGGACGGATTGTGTCTGGACTGCATCCAGGGAGGCTATATCACTTCAGCATCAGAAGTGTTAGTGGCATCATCCGGAAAACATACAGCAAATTGCTTTCTGGAACTGTGAGGACAAGTAAGACCCCATAAAATCGTAAGACAAGGACACTGCTGTAAAAAGCTCAGCTTATTTTATTTAAAGTTTCATTTATATTGGGGGTTCATAAATGGTACACCTTCTCTTCATTTCAAGAAAAGGTCAGAGGTCTCTTTGATCAGTGAGCTCAGTGAAACATCATTCATGGACAGCAACAGAATTAGCTAAACTATTCACTTGTTGATACATTCAGATTGCTATTAGGGCTATGGCATTTGAGGTTAACACTCACTTGAGCAGAATGTTATTGCTGTGCAAAAATGCATGGGATCATGTTCTAAGCTTGAGCAAGATCTTTCGAACCAGGTGACAGCCGTGTTTCTTACATCTATATTCTACTCTTCCATAGAATTCAAGGCAATTCAAAGGGGTTGCCTGAATTCTGGGCAGTGAGTGAAGAACTGCTTCACTTCAGCAAGGCTGCTATACCTTTGTGCCTTTAGAACATGTCCTTGTACCTACTTCACAGGTCTGTTGTGAAGATATAATAAGTAGGACCTCAGGAGAGGTAAGTGCAGGAAAGAGTTGGGGCTCATCCACACTGTACCACTGTTCCTAGTCATTCTGAGGATGCTTCAGGTGGGTTTGGTATTTTTGTTGCAAATTTGAATAGACCATCCTGTTACTTGCAGCCACACCCAGGAAGGGTATTTGTACTGGGATGCACTGGGATACTGCCTGTCTGCACACCTCTGGAATTGCTCTTTGAGGTCTCTCTCCCAATGCAAACTATCCTTTTGCCTATCTTTTCCACTCTCTCCCGTCACTCTCTCTCCCCTTCGCTCCTTGTTTTACCTGCCCACTGCTCTCAAACCTTCAAGTTTCTACCCTAAAGCTTTCAATTTTTAATTCTTTTTAATTATTAGTTTTTACATCTTGTGCTAGGATGCAAAACTAATAACATTTTAAACATTTAAAAGCAAAATGCAGCAACAGCTGATAGTTTCACTGTCCTCTCCCGATCTATTTCACTCTTTCTTCTTGTCCCTATTCCCATTCACAATCCTTCACCTTTTGACCAACTTATGGTGAAAGAGGGAGGGTATTTTTTTTAAAAAAAAGCAAAAGGCAAGAATAGCTAATATCCTTCCTACCCTCTTGTCACTTATTTCATTGTCTTCTTCCCTTTACTCCTTGTCTTATCTGAAGTGCTCTGTAATTTTATTTCAGTGGGTTTTTTGGAGGGGGTGCTATGATATAAAAGTGAAACATTAAGGAGGAAAACTGAAAAGCAGAACACATTGACAGCTGACACACACACTCAAAAAAACTAAGCAAGAACAGCAGTGAGACATGGGGGCTGGATTGGAGGCTGACCAGCAGAAACATGCCTATAAGGAAACATAATCAAAGGATGCACACACACAACTTGCATGGATCAGCACGTATCTGATCAGATTGGGGTCTACATGAGGAGACTGTGCCCTAGAGCAAGTCGGAACAAAAATACACCACACTGTGGTGATGTACAAAACACAGAAAGAAAGAAGGGTTGTTTTGTTTTGCCCTGTTTTAACTCAGTTGACCTTAATTTCAGCCTTGCATCGTGTGAACAAGATATATACAAGACTAGTATCATGGTTGCAAGTGAACAAGATATATACAAGACTAGTATCATGGTTGCAAGGAAAGTTCAACAGATGCTCACTGTGGATGGGACCCAAGATGATACTACCATTGTATATAAAATAATTATGTGGCTTGAGGCAATGGCATATCTCTCCAGCCTCATCATCCATAGATGAACTACCTACTTTCCCTAAAGACCTGTTGTGAAGGCCAATAGAAAAAGCATCCTGGAAGTTGTAGTGTAAGTGAGATGCAGCCTGCAGCAGAAGTAAGACATGAACATAGTGTAGTACAGAAGGCAAATGTCAAAGGAGCAGAAATAATCAGCATTTTATTAGCTGTGAACAAAATTTGCACATCTAGCATTGATACATTTCAGTCCAAAATTTAATGCCCTTCCTAATTTAATGTTGATTTCATATTCTTGATATTCATCTGTGTGCTTTTGTGAGCAGACACATAATGCCAGCTCTTTATTCTGCTTCTCTTTCTCTTTGAAGAGCCAGACAAGATACAAAATTTACATTGCCGGCCACAGAACTCTACTGCCATTGCATGTTCTTGGCTTCCTCCTAACTCTGATTTTGATGGATATAGCATTGAGTGCAAGAAAATGGACACTGAAGAGATTGAATTTTCCAGAAGAATAGACAGGGAAAGAACTGTGTATAACATCATGATGCTGGTGCCCCACACAAGATACTTGGTGTCCATCAAAGTGCAGTCAGCTGACATGACCAGTGAAGTGGTGGAAGGCAACACCATCACTATGATAGATCGTAAGTCTTTTTATATGTTCAGTTGCATGGCAATAGATAACAACATGCAGATGTGGGTGAATGTAGGAAAGCTTCCAGTTTATGATGCAAGATTTGAATTGAATGACATGTAGCCAGAATACAGAACCTCTGTTTTGTTGCACTGAGTATATTTTATATGATAGCTTCTAGCAAATCAAGCCTGAACTGTCAAGACAAAAATGGCAAAACTGAAATTCTCATGCTTCAGGCACATCATCAAGAAGAGCCCTGTGGCACAATGGTTAAACTGCAGTACTGCAGTCAAGCCTCTGCTCACAGTTTGATCCCAACGGATTCAGGTAGCTGGCTCAAGGCTGACTCAGCCTTCTATCCTTCTGAATAAATCAGTACACAGCTTGCTGGGGGGGCAAAGTGTTCTTTGCATGATTGTATTGTAAACTGCTCAGGGAGTCTAACACTATGTTAGTTTAACACTATGAGGTGGTATATATGTCAAAACAACAACAAAAATCCACCATGAGAAGGCAGGATTATCTGAAAAAGATAATAATGCTCGGAAAAGTTGAAGACATCAGGAAAAGAAGACAAAATATGAAATGGATTGGCTCCCTTAAAGAACCCACAGGCCTGAGTTTACAAAAGCTAAACAAGGCTTTTGAGAACAGGTCACTTTGGAGGTCACAAATTCTAATCAAAAACAAATTATTTCACACACAGTTTTCATTATTTGTTTATTTAGAACCTTCTTCTTCTCCTCCTTCTTTTTGGTCTCTTTTGTACTGCTTATTGTCTGTCATTTGGCTATGGTGGGATTGAAAGGAAATGTTTCACAATGGCAACAATGGCCAACAGGTAGCCCTGAACTCAACCTGAGAACATCACTTGGAAGCCATTGGCAATGGTGCGGCTAAAAAATATTGTAAATAAATAAATAATAAAATAAGTTACAGATGGATTTTTTTTTTAAAAAAATGGAGTTAATTACATTCTATGGTCCTCTAGATTGTGTGTGCTCATCTTCATGCATTAGATCAACAAGAGACAGAAATTCTTTTAAGCTAAGAATGCTCAAGAATCTCTTTTGATCTGCATCTCAGAGCACAGTGACTTGATCTGCACCTCCCAGATCAGTGTACAGATTGTGCCACATACATCCTTTGAAGGTTTTCACTTCTTTTAATTTTACAGCATAGTTCTTGGCTCAAAAATGTTTCAGAAATATGTATTGTAGATCATTTTTGAGAGAACATTCATTTTAGAAATGCTTTGAAATTCTTGCTTAACATCTTTTTAAATTCACAGACTAATGAGGAAACAGAGTGGAAAAGACTTACAAATGAACATATCCAGTAGATTTTTCTGTTATACATTGACAATATATATGATGATACTGCTTTTGCTCTCCCTTAGGTCCTCCTCCTCCACCAGACCATATTCGAGTGAGCAAAAAAGATGCAATTATTACTAAATCTTCTATCCACTTCACTTTCAATTGCAGTTGGTTCAGTGATACCAATGGAGCTGTGAAATACTTTACTGTAGTTGTGAGAGAAGCTGATGGTAAGCTTTCACAAGGCCTACATTAACACTGTCATTGCCTTCTTCAAGTGATTAGTCATTGCAAAATTTCATTATGACTGTGGATTCCTGCAAATTAACTGCAAATAAAGTAAATTAAAGTGAACAGCATCAGTCCACAGATCTGAAATTTGGGCCTCGTTAGCCTTATTCTCATGGCTTGGAAATAACTTATTACAAACAATGGTCGAAGTTCTGTTGCCTAGTGCAGTAAATTGAATTAGAGTAGGTCTTTGAAACAATGGGAATTGAGTCAACTCCTCTATAGGTTCCATTGATTCAAATGGGCAACTGTAATGTTTCTCACAGTAATAGTTAGAGTAGATGCATTTGAATCAATGAAACTTACAAATTAGTAATGTGTAACTCTTGGGGCTACTCTAGTGCAATTCACTAAAGAACAAGATTTGGGCCAATGAATTATTTGTAATTAATTCTTTCTCCAATCATTTTAACATGATAAGTAATAGTGTCATTCTTTTTGTGGTGAAAAGTAACTACAAATTGATTAATGATCAATTTCTTTCTCTCTTTTCACTGAAAGACAGCATGCAGCTTGTGCTGGTCTAACAGGTTTTTTGAAATCTGCCTCATGACATTTTTATTCTTAAACGTGCACAGAAATTTTTTCTACCTTTTCAGTTGACCTAAAAAGTATTTGATCATTTTTTGTTGTTACTTGGAGTATTAGTCATACCAAGTGAGTCCACTGAGATCCATGGGAAATGTTCCCATGTAAATGTGTGTATGATTGGTGCCTTCATTGCTAGAAGATTAATGAAAGATCCGCTGTTTTTTGCTGTTGCCCTTCTTTTCAAAACGGCTAGCCTCCAGAAAAGAAACTAAACAAAATGATCCTTCTTTTAGAAGGGAACTCCTGCTCTTTGATCAACTTGTTCTTCTGAGGTGGAACATGGCTGCATTTTTAAGCACTGCATTTCAAATATAATTTTATGGCATACTTCTTAGGTGTCTCTTGTGGGGGGACAAAATGTCATTCTCTCATTCTTTGTATGGATATATATTTTCCCTCTCTCCTGTGACATTTTATTTTAATACTGTCTTAAGATGCTTACAGGGACATGGTGGCACTGTGGGTTAAACTGCAGAAGCCTCTGTGCTGCGAGGTCAGAAGACCAGCAGTTGTAAGATCGAATCCACGCGATGGAGTGAGCTCCCGTCACTTGTCCCAGCTCCTGCCAACCTAGCAGTTGAAAAGCATGTAAAAATGCGGTGGGAAGGTAACAGCGTTCCGTATCTAGTCACGCTGGCCAGGTGACCACAGAAACTGTCTACGGACAAAACGCTGGCTCTATGGCTTGGAGACAAGGATGAGCACCGCACCCTAGAGTCAGACACAACTTGACTAAATGTCAAGGGGAACCTTTACCTTTTCATAAGCTGCTTACATGTATTTTGTGTCACAGTCCAACAGTTGTAGGAAAAAATGAACTTCTTTTTAAAAAGAAGTAATGAAAAAGTAAATATTTTTTTCTTTACTATTTTTATTTTTTGAAAAGGGGGAAGTAAGCAACTTCTTTTTAAAAGTGCAACTGTAATGGTAGCTACATTTTTAAAGGCTTGGAATGTATTAATTGTATTAATTTAATTATTAATTTATTAATTTAAAAAGTAACTTTCCAAGTTCTACTTATTATCATAATAACACAGTATGTAACTTCTACTTTTTAAAAACCTTTCTAATCACCTCATTCTAGGCAGTGAAGGACTGAAGCCAGAACAGCATCATCCTTTGCCATCTTACTTGGAATACAAACACAACAATTCCATCCGAACCTATCAAACAAATTATTTCGCAAGTAAATGCACTGAAAGCCCTGACAGCATTTCAAAAAGCTTTGATATTAAGCTTGGAGCAGAGATGGAAAATCTGGGAGGAAAGTGCAATCCAAATCATCAGAAGTATTGCGATGGACCACTAAAACCCAGGACTGACTATAGGTCAGATTTACTGTGGTGATAATGCCTCAAGAAATGCAGCAGGCTGCCTGCAGCAGTGCTCTATAGAAGCATCCGAACGATCATAGATTAATAGCTGCTGTTGCGTGATGTTACCTGTGTGTTTTGCCATTTATAATAGCTTTCCATCCCCCTCCCTCAAAGTTCATGCCTATACAGTTTGTTTATCCATATCTGTGAATGCTGCAGCTCATGATGTGCTGAACCCTGTGAAGTAAGCAAGTCTCTGTCACTTTCACTTGACTGAATGAATTTGCTAATCCCTGAGTGAAAAATGCTGGATTCCTGATTCCCATCCACCGTGTCAGTGGACCCTGAACAGCTAAATACCTGTATTTAGTTATGATGGATAAATCTAATATTAAAGACAAATGCACTAGACTAGGCATGAGTAAAGGTTTGATCAGGATTGATCTGGTTACAGGGATTACATTGCCAAGAATATCTGATTCCCCATGATTTACATAAATCAGGTCGCAGGAACAAACAGCCTAGGTTGAACCAGAGCTTGGAAAGTTACTTTTAAAAAACAAAGACATTAATTTTGCTGCTCACTACAAACCACCAAAAATTGCATTCGCTTGCTGTTCAAAAATAAATAAATACATGCACAGGACAGGCTAAAAAAATACTAAAACAAAGAAAGTTTCTGTAGTAGTCAGAGCTGCCTTTTTCCCATCCTCCAAAATATCTAGGATTTGTGCCCCAAACATGATTCTTTCTGTTTATCCTTCCCAGTTATTTCCCTTGAGGGCTCCTGGCTATGTGTCTCCTTACCTATTATGCAGCTGCTCAATGCTTGACATCTCCATATTTCCTTCCCTGCCCCCATTCTCTGATCTTCTCTAAATTCTACCTCTCTTAGACTCTGGCCATTCCTTTGCCCTCATTGTTTTCTGGCCTCTCTGTGCTGTTGTTTATCACTCATCTGCCTCAATACCACCTGAAGAACAGAAGGTGCTCTGAAACACTTCAAATATTGTGCTAGTTCTTTCTTACTACCTGTTAGTAAGCAAAGCAAAACCTGCTACCATTAACCTCCTCCCCCCAAATGATTAGCTTATCCTGTTATGTTACAATTGTGATGTGACATTGTTTTACTCTCTTTATTGCAAAAAGGAACAAATTGTAAATATGATGTTATATCTAACACAAATCCACTCCTGGATAAACTCTGTGTTTGGAAATGTCATGCTTTATTTTCAAACTGTCAAATTGATCAAGATTGAATTTGCATGTGAAGGAACACCAGAGGCATTCAAGAGAAAATTGGACAACCATCTATCAAACATGCTTTGATTTGGATTCCTGCATTGAGCAGGGGTGTTAGATTCAGTGGCCTTATAGGCCCTATCCAATATGAGCCTATGCCTGAGATGACATTATTTTGCAGAGCACATCTCCAACAACATACTGGTGTTTAATCAGAAGTATACAGAAGCCCCTCACCCATGCCATCATCCTGCATCTAGCCCTTGTTGGTAGAGCTTGAGGTTCTAGTAAGAAAAAGTAGACTTCATCAAGCCTGATGTCTGTCTGCCCTTACATTAAACTTATTCTATTGGGGTAAGCATAATTGCAAAAGCAAAATAGTTTTTTTAAATGAGTCATTTATTTCTCCATTCCCATCTTTGTCAGTTTCTCCACCCACCTCACCACTATAAAGAAATGGTAATAAGAAGCTAAAGGTATTCTGTACATGGATGCTGTCATATTATTTCCTTGACCAATGGGTCCAACTCTACCATTTTTCTATGTGAAAGTGCTTATGCTTGTCTGATTAGCATTTTGTGCTAACTGGACATTAGGAGTCAATAGTCTGAAGACAAGCACAGAATTCTCCTTTAGAATTTGAGTGCTTATTATCCTTTTCTGAAGCACTGTCCTATATTATTTCCTTTTTCTCTTCAATGCTCTGGCTAGGGAACTAATTTTTTGTGACATCATGCAATATAGGTTTGCTCTTATTTTGGATTATATATTTAATACATATACATAAATGCAATATTTTTCTTGCTTGGTTTTCTGATTATGGGTGCCAAACATGGGACCGCTAACCAGGGCCTCCCTGTTAGTATCAGGCTACTGAAGAGTCTGTTGCTGCTTGGCGGTCATGTAAGGTGTGTCAACAAATTACATAGCTTATAAGTATTTTGATAATAGCATGGCTGCTCCACTCTTGAAGGGCACTGATGTTAAATGATACCTCTCAATATATATAAAATCTGTTTTCCCCCTCCTTTTTTATTTCACTCAGAATCAGCATCCGGGCTTTCACACAACTCTTCAGAGAAGACTTGAAGGAACTTCCTGAACCCCTGTTCTCTGATACCTATTTCTCTTTGCCAATCACTACCGAATCAGGTTAGTTTCTATTAGGCATTTGGGAATATCTGAAAAATGTTCTTTGGCTGGAGATGAAGGAGGACAAGGGGGGATTTGTAGAACTGCAACAATAGCTTGGTGGCTTTCATCAAATCCATCTAGGTTAGGGATGGACTACATAAGGACCATGGACCACATAGAGATTCTATCTCATGTTTGCAACCCCGGTTCACCCCTTGCAAAAAACAAACAAACAAAACATGTTTTGTTCTTTAAAAGAGAATGGCTGGTCCTAGCAGTCAGCAGGAATAGCAATTAGGTTCTAAAGCAGGGCACAGGATCTTATACCAGTGTTCAGATCTTTTGTGGTAGGAGGACAGTTTTCAAAACTGGAAGTGAGCCTCCAGCAACTTCTGGAAGAGAAATTTTGAAAAATATTTTCATTGGGGTTGTAGCTTGAAACAGGTTCCAAAGATTAAAAATTGGTCTCCAGAAGTTGCTACTAAACAGAAAGTTGTGTGTTAACATGCATTTTGCTAATATGCCTCAGACCTTCATCATTTGGAGGCTAGGAACCAGAAATGGGCTGTTTGGGAAGGATGTCAAGAACTTTCATGAATCCATAGGTCCCTTAAGCGTCCTCCAAACAGATCCTGTAGCTGCAGTGGGAGAGAACAGTTCTGTACAGCAAGCCAACAGGGCTTTGGAAACAGGAAAACAATTACTATAGGTTCCCTCTTCCCATCCTCCATAGGATTGCTCTGTCCAACAGATTTTTACATTTTGAGCCAAGTTCATGTATATGGACATTCTAGAGAGAAATCTTAAGTAAAATCTAGAACATTAAGGGAATATAGTACTTCAGCTTAACTCAGAAAGACCCTTTTGAACAGAACAAAACAATAGAAACACTGGGTTTAGAATTCTTATTTAATATAACAGCTGCTGCATGAGTCTATGTACAGTGCAGCCTATTACAAAACATCACAAATTCTGGTGAGTTTCAAATGCTTTTTTAAAAGTGTAGTATTGCATTGTTAATGAAATTATCTTTGTAGAAATAAAAGAAACAGATCTAGAAATCACATTAATATATTTATTTGAAAACAGTCTTTGTTTATATGCATGTTTCTGGAATAATAATTTTGAAGACAAAGAGAACCATTTGGAACTTCTCTCTCTGCTGTAATGTTGACTCATTTGTCATAATAATTGAAAATGAGTCTACTTTTTAAGATAGCAACTCATTTCTTATAATTATGTTTTGATTAGTTTTGTAAACAGAAATATATTGATGAGGCTTAATTTATCTATATTGAACTCATTTTTTATCTCTCTCTCTCTCTCTTTGGTGGTATATTCAAGAGTCTGCATTTGTTTGTTTGCTTGTTTGTTTTTTATATACTGCCTTGTTAGTGTTGCCACTCTCTAGGCACTGCAATATACAAATACACAAATAAAACAGTTCAATTTGCGACAACAAATTCAACCTAGCTTAATTAATTCCAGACATTAAAAACCAAAATCAGGATAGAACTATTCAATATAAAAAGAGAGTATAAAAAGAACATTAATCCAAATGAAAACTTTGGTGAAATAAAAAGGCTTTTGTCATTCTGCTAAAGCTTAAAAGAGAGGCAGGTAGTGATTCCTCCCTAGGAATGGTGCTATATATCCTGGGTAATAATAATTGTGTGCCATCAAGCCGATTCTGACTTACGGCAGCCCTTTTGGGGGGAGTTTCTGGATATAAAGTGCTCAGAAGTGTTTTTCCAGGTTTTTTTTTTAAAAGGTTCCTCTTGCTTCCTACCAATCATACTTCTGAGGGAAATATGGAACAGAGAGCAGAACCTCTAATGCTGAATGCAGATAAGATCGTACGGGAGGAGGGAACCCTACATATGTCTTCCTGATCGCTAAACCACTTAGGATTTTAAGGGCAGAAATCCATCCATTCATCCATATGAAATCAATTGCACCTGGAAACAAACTGGAAACCAGTTCACAAGAACCAGAACTGAGATAATATGATCAGCAGAGTGAGCTCCAGAAACAACTGTAGACACCACATCTTGCACCCTCTTAAGTTAACTGTGCACTTTTTGGAGGCAGTCCTAGGTAGGATGAGGATCAAAACAGATGAGATGCTCAGCTTGCATTTAGAAGCAGTGTTCCATGAGGTAGGTAGCCATGTTGATCTGTTTCAGGTTGCAGAGGAAATATAAATGAAAACAGGAATAGGGTGGCACCTTATTTATTTATTTATTATGCATTTATTTATTTAAAATATTTTTACCCTGCCTTTCTCCTTGAAAGGACACACAGTGGCTTACATAATTAAAAATACAACATTTAAAAGCTACAAACAGTACGTATACACATATTTTAAAATAATTCAACAAGCATTATACTAAAATAGTAAATACATTCGATACTGAAAGCACATTTAAAAACAACAGAGCACAACAATCCATTTTAAAAAATAAACCTTTTAGACTGCTAGTCATTAAAGAAACGTCTGCCTCAGGAGAAAGGTCTTTGCCTGCTTGTGGAAGGAGAGTAAAGAGGGGGCTAGCTTGGCCCTCCTGTGGGAAAGAGTTCCAGCATCTGGGAGAAGGCCCGCTCATGTATCCCCACCAAAGGCAACTGTGGGAGTGGTGAGACTACTATATTTATTTGAATGCATGGGTTTTTATGCCTATATAGCTTTTGGAGGGAGAGCCAAGTATTTTTCACAGAAGTGAAGTTTCAAAGTGACAATAACATTACAGTATTTAACACAAGCAATGAACTTTAAGACAGTCGATTTACAAAAACATCTTCGCCATAGCCATGTTGCCTACCAGTTCAATATGCAGTTGCCTCTGAAATGCAAAGATGTTGGTTCAGGAAGAGGCTTGTAGTTTTCTGAATTTCCTTCTGGTTCTGTTGTTGTTGTTTAGTCGTTAAGTCGTGTCCGACTCTTCGTGACCCCATGGACCAGAGCACGCCAGGCCCGCCTGATTCTGAGGGCACAGTAAATAACTCAACTATATACAACATTGTAATGAAAATGGCTTAATAATATATTATTATTAAAACATAGTGGCCAGACTGGTGGCTGGTGTGAGCAAATTTAATCATATCACTCTAGTTCTGGATGGCCTCTACTGGTTACCCATTGTGTCCCAGATCAGGTTCCAGGTTCTGATGCTCATGTATCAAACCCTTGATGGTTTAGGACCACATTACTTGTTGGAGCAATGTTCCCCAATGTCATCTGCCCGACTCCCCAAACCTTCTCAGGTCAGGCTCCTCCATGTAGCCAACCCAAGAGAGGCATGAAAGTAAGCTACTAGAGGTAGGACCTTCTCAGCAGTGGCATCAAAATTATGGATTCAGCTCCCAGAGGAGTTAGGTCTGGCTCCCTCCCTGTACTCAATTAGGAGACAGTCAAAAGCACTACTTTTCAGGGACGCCGTTCACATTGACCCCAGTTGAATGCCTCACCTCCTGTTCTGCTTCAGTTTGAGAATTGGTTCAGTGCCATCAGTTATTGAAGATTTTAGGCTACACTTTATAATTGTTTGTAATTTAGTGTTTCATTTTGTGGAGTTGGTTTTAACTGTTTGTAAACCACCTATAATAGCGCTTTGGCACTAATTGGGTGATAGATAGATAGATACAGTGGTGCCTCGCTTAGCGATTGCTCCGTTGAGCGATGAAATCACTTAGCGATAGACTTTTTGCCATCGCAAAAGCAATCGCTTAGCGATGGTCCCTACAGGGAAAATTCGCTTTGCGATGATCACAGAAAAGCGATCATGGCAAAGCGATCCTTTTTTAACAGCTGATCAGTGGTTTCAAAATGGCTGCCGGAAAAACAAAATGGCCACCCACTGTTTTGCCTCGCTTAAGAGGCAGCAAAAATGGCAGCGCTATGGAGGATTTTTGCTGAAAGGTAAGTTTTTAAGCCCACAGGAACGCATTAAAGGAGTTTTAATGTGTTTCTATGCGTTTTTAAAAATCGCTTAGCGATGAAATCGCTTAGCGACTTTTTTCCGGAACGGATTAATGTCGCTAAGCGAGGCACCACTGTAGATAGATAGATAGATAGATAGATAGATAGATAGATAGAGAGAGAGAGAGAGAGAGAGAGAGAGAGAGAGAGAGAGAGAGTCTTGGTCTATATTTAAGTCTTCAGACACACACTAGAATTTGTGGATATATCCTGTATCACCTGTCTTCTTCCAAAACCTCCCTTTTTAATTTTATTTTCTACAACTGTCAGTTTCAGATCAGTAGCAGAACACTCCAGGATAATGAAGTATTCCAAAACTGGCTTTTGTATTTTCCTATTTCTGATGTCAAAATTGTGCTCATTAATTTTCTTAAGTAGAAATTATCTGATTTGTTCAGAACATGTAAGAATTATACCTTTTAACACAAAGGACTGAAGAAAATTGTGTCTAATGAGAGTTTAATGTCAAATGAGTGTTTGATGGAATATATGTATACATTTTATCAATTGTCTTCATATGAAAAAATCAGAATGTGTAGAAACTGGCATAACGAACAGAGGACCTTGTTCATTATTAAGTAATATTCCAAAGAATGTAGAAGAGAATAACCCTGCTGCTAGTTCTCTTAGAAAACAGCCAGCAGGTCAGAGCAAAGTATCATATAAAGATGTGTTTTTTTAAGCCTGAAAAATCTGAGTACATTGTGTCTGTCTTTTATGCACAATTGTTTCAGAGCCCTCATTTGGAATCATTGAAGGAGTGAGCGCAAGTTTATTCTTAATAATTACACTGGTAGCCGTCACTGCATTTCTTGTCTGCAGACGGAAAGTAAAGTGAGTAGAAATCGATGTTTCTTTCTTTGTACTATGGTTAGGCTATACGGACATTTATATATAGTGAGACGTAAATTTCCATTTAAAGATACAATAGAGATATGCTTTAAAAATGGAAACCATCTTTGTGGTTGATCTTTTCTAAAATGGTTGCATAATAAGTTGTAAGCTTTATGTGTATTTATATTCATATGAATGTTGGCTCTGAGGCTTAGCTAGGCTTAGCTCCACCCAAGCTATCTGTTCCTGCCTTGGTGCTCACTGGGATCTTTCTTTCTGAGCAGGAAGCTTGGGCAGAGCTGGACCTAGGTAACCCTCACAGCCTTCCAATTTAGGCTTTCCCCCCAGGGCATCTCATTCAGGAATTTGTCTGAAAGGTAGGTATGGAGAATTTTGCTATTTGCGGTCCAGAAAACCCAGAAATCCAATCCCTAGTTAGGTCCTCAATGCCTATAGTATGTTTTCAAGATGAGATGTGTAGCATGGAAAGCAGGAGTGGGACAGCAAAAATGTTGCAGTGACCCTAAAACTGCTCTTGCATCAGATACAGTTGGTTTATGGCAACAGAAAGGTTCTGTTGCTGGTGAGACAGAACATTGTCCCCTTTTAATCCACCTGATATGATGCTATGTCAACTTTTGTATTTCAGTAGTGGCCATGAACGACCAACAGCAAGGATGAGCATTCGCAGGGACAGGCCACTGTCAGTTCACCTCAACTTGGGACAAAAAGGGTAAGGTCAAAGTGTTTGGCATTATACAATGAGGCATTCTGCTTATTACCAACTGACCCATTTTTTTCCCTTTTCTCTCCAATAATTTAAAGGAGCCGGAAAACATCCAGGTAAGTACTAATGCCAAGTCACTGCAGCCAACATCATTTCTGCTGATGCCTTGTCTTTTCTGTTTTAATATATGGTGCTTCTCCCTCTCCTTTCTCTTAACATTTTAGCCCAATAAAAGTAAATCAGTTTGAAATGCACTTCACCAAACTTCAAGCAGATTCCAACTACCTCCTGTCCAAGGAATATGAGGTAAGGGCAGATGGAGTGAAAGCAGTTTCCCCATCCCTGTAAATGGATTTGTTGGGTCATAGCTGTTATCCTCAGTACATTTATCCAAGGTCATTCAAATTAAAGGCAACTAGCTTCATGATGGGTAGAACAGGAAGGGGAAGCTGTATTCTGTAAACACACCATGGAGGGAAGTAGGATGGGGATAAACTTCAAGTTCCAAGAGAAAATAACGCTAGCTTCATGATGGGTAGAATAGGAAGGGGAAGCTGTATTCTGTTAACACACCATGGAGGGAAGGAAAGTAGGATGGAGATAAACTTCAAGTTCCAAGAGAAAATAACAGTGGAGCAGGTCTGGATTTTTTTAGGTGCCCTCACACAATTATTCTCAGCAAAATACTGACATTTTATGTTAGTATTTTGACTTGCCTTGGCAGCTAGTACTGAGCAAGAACACCATAGCATTGTCTGTACTTCCTAGCTTGTTCCCTTTCTGCTGCTTCCACTCAGCAGTACCCAGCTGTGCATGTATAGGACAGTCTTCCATCTTGCTTAGCATTCAGTGGAGTACTGAGCACCGCAGCCCATCGACCCAACCATGTACCCACATGCAAGCAGATCAGTCCACAGCCCACCAATGAAAGGGGTTCTGGATTATTTCAGATTGTTGGACTTAGATATCACAGTAATGGAGAGAAGGTCTGTGGTTTATTCAGCTGCTCCTCTGTGCAGCAGGTACGATCTACAAGCTCCATCAGCAAGCGGCTTCATTCTGTGTTGTTCCAAACAAGTCAGAATTTGCTAAAATTCATTAGAATTCTGACTTGTTATTTTTTGTGAATGTAGCCTGTGTAGTCAGCCTCCAAACAACCTTTACTATTCACAAATATTTAAACAAGTCTCATGTTTCTAAGCAACAGTGTTATTTGGCATCACATGAGAGAGAGCTGTTGGCTCTGTTTTCTATTATAAGGTTAACCTTAGAAGTGCCCTAAACGAGGTGATGTGTGAAGGCTGAACAAACACATATGCATCTATATCCACTCCTTAGTCTTGGATAGTGGATAGATGGCTGATACATAGAGGGCATGTATTACTATAATTTAAGTATTTTAACCTCCTGATTTCTTTCTTTTGGCCTTCTACAGGATCTAAAAGATGTGGGTCGAAACCAATCATGTGATATAGCACTTCTACCAGAAAACAGAGGGAAAAATCGATACAATAATATATTGCCCTGTAAGTAGTAATGTTGAGCTGCAGGCTTTTCTTTTCCTCTTACTGAATCTATTCAGCAAGTACTGGAAGGACAGGAAATGTGCTATATTTTTCATTCCAGTACCTTTTCTTGGCAACAAAACATCACTTCCATCAAAAAGTGTTATTCTTCAATATATAGTGCGCCCTTCCCAATAAAAGAACTCACTTTATTAGCGAAAGTGCAGTGACTGATGGTGTTCATACTGGTTATGAAAGTCTTCAGCCACTGGAGCAGTTTTGCTGAATTGTCATTTCCGATGGCTGGCAGATGTAACCATAAAATAGCAACCTTTGAATGCATGGGTGATTTTATATGATCAGCACCAGAAGATAAACAGCATAGTTCCTTATTTAGCAGTGTCTCAAAAACAAAAAAACAAAACCTTATACCAAATAGGTTTGTAAATCACTTATCCAACATTTCTGTATGGAAAGCAATAGGTTCTTCATTTATCAAAATCAATTTAAAATTTATTGAAAAGGCTAAACTCATGACTTTCACAGAACAAATGAAATTGGCTTGTAGTTTCAAAAAGTTTGTGTATTTCATCTGCAGTTGTGTATTCATGATGAGCAGAGCCCCAAGATAAAGATAGAAAGGATAGAAAGGAACCAAAGGGAGAATCAAATAAAAACATGCACCAGAAGAAATTCTATTCTACACCAGAAGTGGTGAATCTTCACCTTCAAATGTTTCAGACAACTTCCATTGGTTCCACCCAGCATGGCCAATAGCTGGGGATAATGGGAATTGAAAACTGAAAAGTCTGGAGTGTCAAAGCACCCTGTTGTAAATACTCAGCCTCTCATTACATTCCTTTTGAATTGGAATGTAATGCAGTAAAACTGCTATTTCTAATTTTGATCGACCTTCCTAAGATTTACAGATCTGCTGTTATGGTTCATAGAACTCATATGTAATGATGGTCCATAGAAGACATGCAGCACAGTCCAGGTGGTGTCCATTCCTCATAGGGAGTTGCAGATGGTGCCATCAACACTGGAAGAAGATCACATCAATCCAAAATAGTTGATAAATTTATTATTTTAAAGAGTACATCCCAGAGGTGCACCCCTCCCCTTTCCACAGTTTGCTATCACAGGTAGCAACCACCTCTTCTAAAGCTTTAACAAAAAACAAAGAGAGTCTCTCTTTCTTTGTTTCCATGTTCTTTCACTGATTTTCAAAACTGAGCCTCTTAAACATTAATGATTTGTGTTAAGAAGAGGGAGGTACATAAATGCTTCAAAGGTTGGGGTTTTTTAAGCTTTTCTGTTTCATTTTCCTTTTTCTTTCACCCCTTGTCTTTCAAATTATCTGGGAAATGTTTCATCCAATAATGTTGTGGGGGCTGCTGTCAGTAGCCAATCAGAACATCTAGGAGGAGTGGGAATTCTGAAGGTATACACAAGTCAGATTTATTGCAACCCAGTGGAAGTTTTTCTTTATTTCATTCATTCCATGTAGTATGCAAAGTCCTTCCAACTTGTGCTACTTGCCTCTCTGTCTGTTCCTCTCTGTCTTGGATCTTTTGCTTTTTTCCATTGATTTTTGAGGAGATTTCCTCCCATTTCTTTGGTTCATTTTTGTTGCTGCTACCATGTAGCCTGCCTAAACCAACAGGCCACTTTGGGATTATTTTTGGGTGGTTCCCCCCCTAATTTTTTTTTTTTGTAGATTTGTTTTGGTTCTTTCGTACTTTCTTTTCTTGGATTAATTTAATTTTGTTGCCTGCATAGGGTTCAAAAAGGAGAAAGCAAGTGAGAAGGGGGGCCAAAAATCTCATATTCTAGTTCTTTTTGTTTGGGGGTACATCTTGCTTTTCTTGGTTTTGGGAAATATACATATGCTTTATATGTATAGTTTATTTTACTATCTTTTCTTGGGGGGCTCCCTTTTGATTTTTTAAAAATACTATTCTGTTAAAGATGCATATTTTGGTAGGGCTTTTAAGGGTTTTGTTTGGTGGCCATGATGGCAGTTGGTTGTACTGTTGCCACCTTTTGGAATAGATTGGGTATTCCTTGCCTTGCCTCTGGTTTTGGGGACCATTTGCAGGAGAGTTTAAGGTTGTTGTTGTTTTTTGGGTTTTTGTGGGGGGGGGTTAGACTAACATGAGGGAGGAAATGAAACATAATTACCCAAAACAGTCCCTTTTGTGCTAAATAAAAAGATCAGTGGAGATGCACCCTCTGAAAAAAACTGAAACAAAAAAAATGAAATTTTTCACCATGCGCATCCTCCTAATTATGATTTTGGGTGTATACCCCTTCCATTATCAAGGTAGTATGCTCCTCAGTGCCAGATACCAGGAACACAAATAGCGGGCTGCTTTTCTGCTGCTGTTTTTAAGCTTCTCATGGGCATCTAAGCAGGAATACAACGATAGGCTGAATAGGCCTTTAAACTAAAGTAGTATGACCACTCTTATGTTCCTAAGCTCCAGCTTGCTCCAGTCTTCATTTAAAGATCTAATGATGGGGCAAAAATGTTGTGCTGTGTCAAAAGTAAAAACAAAGAGGCTTTTCCCTCTGTACTGTATTGAGTTTTATATTTTTCATTGCTTGCCCAAATGCTAGTTACTACTGAGGTGTGTGTGTGTGGGGGGGGATTATATTTTGTCTCTGTTAATATTTGGAATGTCAACATGATTGTTAACATGACTAGATGAAAGGCCCTGTATAAACATGAGCTATTTAGTATGACATAAAACCAGATATGCTGATTCATACCTTGACAGAACTGTCAGCACTTTTCCATTTCTGTGCATTGCTTAAAATAAAAGAAATCCATAATAGAGATCTCCTGATAATATTTTTACGATGACTTTTTTCTACAGATGACACAACAAGAGTAAAACTTTCAAATGTAGATGATGACCCATGTTCCGACTATATTAATGCAAGCTACATCCCAGTAAGTGATTCCACTATTTCTATTTATATCCCTTTTTAAATAGGGACATGGCATAGTAATTGAAAAGTGAGCTCTGACTTCTCTAATTTAATGTCTCCACTTTGAATTCACCCATATTTGCAAACTAACTTCTGAAAACTGCAGCTGAAATCCAATTACTACTTAAGGGCACTTCTTGGGCTTCCTGGTATTTTCCCACCCACCAACACCAGAATCATCCAAGGACAAGTTTCCAGATATTGCTTTCTTTGTGGAACTTGTAAAAAAAGAAAGGAAAAAAGATACCACTATTTAGTACAATTGGCACACAGCATCTAAAAACATATTTCATCCTGAAAGCATTATTGCACCTTGCACTAAAGCAAAATTGGCGAAGATTTCATTGCGACATTTCCTATAAAGAATAGCAGGATCCTTCCAAATCTATAGATCACCGAATGAATGTCATCTACAATGCACTCCCTACCTGACCAAACAAATCATTTGGATTCTTAGCCATATACAGTTTTTCTCTCCAGACTGTTTTCATGCCTGATCTGCTGGATGACGAGCATTTGATTTCAAGATGTTCAATGCTGTCAGAAATACAGAATGTTTGTGATCATTCAAGTATGTGTTACTGTATGTGTTGTCAAGTTTGAACTGACTTATAGCAGTCATTAACAGAGCTTTCAAGATTCTTGAGATATTTAAGGAGTGGTTTTACCACTGCCACCCTTCAGTGAGTTTCCATGGCTGAGTGGAGATTCGAAGCCTAGTCTCCTAAATCCTAGTCTGTCACTGTATCCACTACACCAGTGGTCCCCAACCTTGGGCCTCCAGATGTTATTGGACTTCAGCTCCCAGAAATCCTGGCCAGCAGAGGTGGTGGTGAAGGCTTCTGGGAGTTCTGGTTGGAGACCACTGCACTATACCACACTGTGTACCCTGATCATTCAAATGGTTTTCCTGTATTGGTAGCTTTGTTGCCACCGTATTCCAGCTCAGGATATCCCATCCCACACCACACCATATAAACAATTCTGCCCTTCCTAGATTATTATCCTAATCATATTTTGATCCAGAAAGGTCTTTGATTCTTCCTCTCACATTTAGTCCTCAAAAAGCAATGGAATGTAAGGGAGAGAAATAGAGTGACATGGCCCAACATCACCCACCAAAGTCTCATGCCTGAGGGAGAATTTGAACTTATCATCTAGATCAATGATTTTCACTGTCTTTCAAATAGAAAGCACATTACAGCCAGGCACGTATATCAAAATACCTGTCCTTGGACCTGCCAGGAAGCTTTTGAGGGTTTCTTCTTCTCTATGTTCCTCAATGTATTCCAAGAAATGCCTCATTCAAGAAGGAATTTATCAAGTCATTCCCAGGCAGGCATCTTCTGACAGGCTTGCTTGGTCCCTGGATTGGAAAGAGATGGGTGAATCCTCATCTACCAAAGCCTCCTTCAATAGTCCAGATCACAGCAGGCAGCCCCATGCAAAAGTGAACGTGAATCCTCATCTACCAAAGCCTCTTTCAATAGTCCAGATGACAGCAGGCAGCCCCATGCAAAAGTGAACAAAGACATAAAGCTAGAGGGTCCATCCTGGGAGTGTGCAACTACTACAAAAAGAAAAAGAAAAAGTGAATGAGAGCAAGAGACTGATGTACCTGGAGTGTTTGAGGATTGCCACTGCTCCTCATTCTTTCAGATTATTCAGATTATGTGCAGACAAGATAAGCTAACCAGCATTTCAGGAATTCATGGTGTTGAGTAAAATGGACCTACCAGCACTAATAATTTTCTTGGGAAGAACTAATGGATGGTGTTTTCTCATGATCTGGGCCAAAATGTTAACTTACTTCAGCAAAAGAAAATTAAAAACTAATGACCATTTATTTTACTTACTTCATGAAGTCATACACTTTCCCAGAATTATTTGTTCTTCAGTATTTTTTTAAAGACCTCTTGTGTCATTATGTGTTTTGACTTGGATGGATAGATCTCCAAGGGTCTGTGTATCTCTCTCTCTCTCTCTCTCTCTCTCTCTCTCTCTC